CCTACAAGACCCAGAAGTGCACCCAAGAGTTTGTTTCACAGGAAACTAATCACAGAATTGTTTGGGTTGGAAGGGATCTTCAAAAGTCAGCTAGTCCAACACCCCTGCAGTGAGCAAGGACATCTTCAACTAGATCAGGTTGCACCAAAGCCCCATCCAACCTGACCTTGAAAGTTTTGGTTGACTCCAGGAGTGAGCCAGTGCATGCACTGGTGCTTACTCAATGTGACCAACCCAAGAGCCAGGTCCTAGGGAAAGCAGAGTGGGAAGCCAGCTAACCTGACAATGCAGGGGCACCCCACTGACTCTCTTCTTCTTGGGCTTCCACTGCCTTGGAGGGAAAGGCACAGACATGCAAGGCTCACCCTTAGTTTCACTATAGGAAACAAACATCACCTCAAATCCTGGGGAGCCCCTCAGGCACAGGTGGTGGCCAGGAGCACACCAGAAATGATTGCTGTACATCTCCGACTTGCTATTGCCATTGAGACAAAAGTGATACTGTGAATAGTGTAATGAGATATAAGTCTTTACTAATACAAGGCCTCAGGTAACAAAATCCCAACAGAAAGGTTTGGAGGAGATAAAGAACAGCCTTTGCAAGTGGTAAGGATCTCAATTGCAACTCTCTTCTAGCATCTCAGTATTGGTGAAAAAGCCCAACCTGAGTAAGCCAAAACTGTCAGCTGGCTCCCCAAGACTCAGAATTACAATGTAAATTACAGAAGTGTTTCTCTTTACGCCCATCACAAAAAGCCCTGAGTCTGTGACTAACCTTGTCACAATTACAGAATGTATCCCAAGGCAATTACTTGTCCATCTGCCAATAGATGCAGTACAAAAATATGCGAGGCATCTGCAATCCTCAGTAGGAGGGCTCCTCCTCATGAACTCCATCCATCTACAAACAAATGTAATGGGGCGATCTTTTTGACAGGAGCTTCCAATTTCTTACAGTAGGACAGAAGACAGACACCACACTCCTTGAAAAGCACATAGTCTTGTGAGTTAGACATTCAAGAAACAGTAAAAGCTAACAGAAACTGTTAGTTCTCCATTTCTTAATTGGGGAAGGCCCTGTGCTACCAGTTCTGTGCTTTCTTTAAAGATCTAACAGTGCAAATTAAAACAAAACCCCTGGGCTCCAAAAGCCTCAACAGATGTTCTGTCTTCTCTGGAATTGAAGACTAGGGCTGCCAATGTTCCTGACCTTATAAATGGAGAGGGACCAAGTGTCCATGAACTTTTAAAACTATGGGAGAGGGAATATAATTGTAGTCATCACAGTCCAATGTGTGTTTACATTAGGATTTCACGTGTTATCAATGATGGGAAATGCTCTGGCTTTTCCTTTGTCTACAAATAAATTGTTGGTATCTATGTACAATAGCATGAAAATTCTCTTTGCCTTAACTTTCTTCGTTATTGAAAGATCCCTTTTAAGCACTGCACTTTCTGAGTACAGGTAAGAAAGGGCTGCAAGGTGACACACATCTTAAAGAGTGGCTGCTCAGCTGAGAAGACATGAAACACCTCTTGCAAAGGGCATCTTATAAAAGGCAGCCTTCAAGCTAACTGGTCCTCTATGTGTGGGTCAGAAAAACTCTAAATCAAACCAGCAGTTCTTGTCTGCTTCTGGTAGAAACCTATGAGAGGTGACACTGAGAGTTTGTGACCTTCCTCACAAACAACAGCCATTTATCTTGAAAATTCATGCCAGCATTAGGCTTTGGGAACAAAACACCTACACTAGTAGCTTTCTGCTTTTGCCCAAAGGCTTGAGATCTTTCATCATTTCACTCCTTCTGCTCAAAAAAAACCCCAGCTCCCCTTGGAGGAACATTTAAGTGTGAGGAACATATGGTTATCTACAGGCCAGCAGCAGCACAGATGCCAGACACTCCACAATGCTTTGCCCTGCAATGAAGCTTCACTCCCTCACAGCTGCCACTAACAACCAACAGAGCTTAGGCTGAGCAGCCAAATATTCCCTGCAAGCACCAAGACTCTCAATACTTAAAGTGACTGCAAGAACTTTAATAGAGATATTCAGCCACAGCATCTCTGTTCAGAAGGGGACTCGAGGGAGACACAGGAAGGCTCTTTCAGTCCCCCGTTCCACTCTCCCATTGAGCAATCCCATCTGCATTGATGCCATTCCCAGCATCTGAGAATAAACAAAGCTGCCTCTTGTGATGCAGCTTTGTTAAAGCCATTAAAACAAACACTCATACATGTTAAATAGGCTAACAGTGACACTGCTCTGTTACAGCATGAAAGGTGCCAGCAGGAGCAAGGAGTCGGTGCTTTCTGGAATAACGAAGCCAAGAAGCTTCTGCAGTTTCAGTTGTGACCAGCTCAGTGACTCCAAGCAAAGATACACTTATGGTAACGAGGTGCTGGAGAAAATAAGAGCGTGTCATTCTCCCCCTCCTGACTACAACTCTGCGGTCCTTTATCCTTAGCCACCTGTTTAAGTACTTCTAGGCCAAGTTTTAAATATGCATTTAATCCAAAAAGGTTTTTCTGAAACACTGTCGGTTTAAAAACTTTGACCCAAATAATTTTAGTTATCCTAAAATTCAAAAAGATCTCATTGGCTTCATCTCAGTGATCTGCTTTTCTACAGACTGCAATAAGCGTATACAAAATGTAGCAAAATACTAATGCTTAAGCCTTGACTTTCCCACTGCTCAACATCAACAGCTGCCACTAAAATTACCCAGTGCTTCTGAAAACCTGAATGGTCATCATTACAAGGAAAACCAGTTAGCTGTTTTGTCCCTGGCAGCAGGATTGTATTTCATGGTCCAGTCACTCAGCCTCTGCTCAGCCCCAGATGCAGCACCAGTGTCCTGCTCAGGAGAGGCCGCTGGGAGCTGTCAAGACACCGGGTGAATTTGCCAGTAATGCTGGAAAATAAAGGACTCTCCAAAAAGACAGAAACAAGAAACAGATGAGGCTCTGTGGCTTTTATGAAAAGCCTACTTTGAGGAACTTGGAGGAAGGTTAGGGCTCCAGGGAAGCTGAATTAGCAAGGTGGGGATGGGGGATTATACAGCTCTTACTGCTTTGGATGGCAAACATAGTAAGGAGTTTTGCAAGGCAAGAATTTCAAATGCGTGTTGCAAAACACAATTGGCAAGGAGAGAGGAGAACCAAGATCAGAGCCAGGGCTGCAACAACAGGGAATACAGATTAATTCAGTTTGGACAAGCCTGCTGAAATCAAGTAAATATTCTTGAAGTTTTGCACTTTGTCTGTTTGCCAACACACACACACACACTGGAACCAAACCACAAGCTACGTATGTTAAAGCCAAGCTCCATCCACAAAATCTTGTGGACCTTCTAACACTGCACTGATTATATTTTATTTATGGGAATCTGTCTGAAAAGACAGGATGGCTATTAAACTGCATATACTTTAAATGAATTGATCTCTAGAGAGCTTGAAGATATTATTTAGAAATGAGAAGACAATCTCCTTGTGAAGTTAGGGCAGCTTTCTATGAAGAGAGTTGAATATCCAGGTTAGTTACCCATCTGTATGTATAGGAAAAAAAAAAAAAAAAAAGACCATTCATTCACAACAGATTTCTGTGTAGCATCTCAGAAATGGTATGAATGTTGAGAAACACCATCCCCTTTCACTTTTGAATGCACTATTGAAATGAGAGTTGGCCATTTAACACACTAGCTCTGACATCTCCCAAACAACTACTGCCCAATCACAGCTTCTCATGGTCCAGTATCAATATATGTTAACTAAAATGCTACATATTAGATATGGTTCTGAAGTAAAAAATTAGCTTAGGAGCTGTGAATGTAACTAACTGACTTAAAGGTAAATGATCTTTTGTGTATGTACAAAGAAAAATGTTCTTGGATGTTCAAGTAAAAGAAATATGTATCACTACTTCTAAGCTGAGTATCAATTTGAGATCTTCCTGGCCAAAAGATCATAAATTTTAAGTATCATTGCACTGTCTCTTGCTGGTAAAGTACATTTTGATCTTCATTAAAACAAAAGGAAAGTTTAAGAACTGCTTCTTAACTCCAATTGAGCAAAATAGTTATGGGATGATGCATCTCAGAGGAAATGTTTGCACAGTGTAAATATATAAATAAGCTTTTTGTGCATAAATATTTAAGAAAACTGGACTACAAAGATTACTTTTATATGAATCCCCTAAGTTTCTTTAGATGTGAATAACTCTTACTTTGTGTTCTATTTTCTATCTTCATCTCATGTATTTGACTGCTGAATTCATACAATAAAGTTTGCTTTTGGAAGAATCTGCAGAGTTCTGTCAGATTAGTTAATCCAGAGTCAGAGACTGCTGCAGCAGATGATTGAGCATTGGACAGCAATAACACATCTGGAATGGGTCAGGTTTGTAAGCAAAGAAGAACATGGAATAATTGCATGGAAGGCACACAGCAAAAGCAGATACAGTGATGGGCACTGGTATGGCTCCCTCTGTGATTTACATCCTCTAGACTCAGTGTACCTAAGAAGTTTAGGAGATTTTTACCCCACCAGTAAATCATCTCACCTTTGCTGTTCAGCAATACAGGGAAAAAAAATCTGGGAAAGGAAGCTGGCACAAGTCCACATGCAGTTCTCAGATAAATTAATACTTTGTTATTGGGCAGAAAAGCTCAAAAACATGCAAGTAAGGGCACTTTAACAGAAGTTTCAAAATTAAGTCTTGTCTAGTAAAGCAGACCTGATCCAACAGAAGCAGATGGGACTTGACTTGGGAGTCAAGGAAATGTGTATGATTCTAGTCAACAACATTTGTAAGTTTCAGGACATCTGATATACTCTAAGTGACAAACACTAAACACACTTTGTGACTCACAATTGTTTCAACACTGCATTGTGGCCAGAGCAAATGCAAAAGAAATGAGAGAATGAAACAATTCCAGCACCCAAGTTGAAAAGCTTCACTTCCAACTTCAGAACTTCATATTGTCAAAATAAGGCCACGTTATTTCTGGTATTCTTTATTAAAAATACTGCTGTACACATGAAGAATGAAAACAGGATTAAAGATGAGTAACACATATTGGGATCATGACATTAGAACTTAACATACTGGTGCTTTTTAGGGGAAGCAGTTGACACCTGAATTACTGAAAAAAAGGGCAAATAAAAAATACATAGGTACCCTCAACAAAATATTCACAATATAGTAAATACAGCAACAGAATTTAAAACAGGTACAAAAATCAAAATGACCAACATCAGATGATTTCAAAGGTTGTCCCTTCTGTGCTTTTAGCTGTAAAAAATAGGAAGGTCAGAGCGAAATTTCCCATCTGGGAGGGCACATCCTGGTGGCTCTTCTTTTTAAACACAGATACACAGTTCTTCCTATGAATGGTTCAAACTACAACGTTAGGACAACCTTCTAAATGGAATTAAAATGGGGTAGAAGGGCTCTCCCCCAAAAAACACCCAAGCTGAACTTCAGACTGTTCAAATCATTCCCAAATATGGACCAAAGAAAATAAATAGAAAACAAAGCTCAACTTTTTTTTAATATGTATTACCTGACACCAAATATTTTCTGGCTGACATTATGTACGAAAACTTATTAGCTGTCTACCTTTTTATTTTTAAACCAAGTCCTGAGGTTATTAGGGGCTGAAGCAAACTGACATTATGCAAATACACACAGGTTTGCAATTTAGACATGTCTTGCAGAGGGTGGTGTGCTGGTCTAAAAAGGATGAGAATTCAAGCCCTATTTTACCCCTGCCTTACACTTTCACAAAATATTGGTCCACAAATTAAATTTTCAAAGGTTCCCAAACCCCACAACTGAACAGATGATCCCCTTTCATTTTCAAAGAAAACAATACTGGAAAAAACCTCAGCCCGCTTATAAATTAAGCATTTCATATTTCTTCTAGAATACAAGTACTTCTTTTTTGTACAAAAGAATTACAATATGATTTGTCAAAAAACATATAAAAGACAGCTGCTCTTCCTCAAATACATGAGCTAATGATAAAAGACTGTTTTGCATGTTCACTTTTCAAAGTTCCTGTTCTTTTATATTAAAAAGAACATTCTGGCAACTGTTGTAGTTTGAATATTAAACATTATGTTCCTTTTAAAATTCATTTGATCAAATGCAACAATAATCGATTTTTAAACTCAACAACTGATGCTACCTAATGTGGATTCAACCACATTTTCTAAAATGTGTAAAGCATGCCCCTAGTCTTCAAAGCTTTCGATGTGAAGAGAGTTGCTTTTTTTCTTGATGCAAGTCTCAAGGCGGAGAATAATTTTAAAGCTTAAAAAAGTGGACAGAGAAATATTAAAAACTTCTCTGAAAACTACAAATATCGAGAATTATTAAAATTGATGTCAGTAACATCAGTTGCAAGTGCTTAGAGTCTGTCCTGACCTTTTGAGTTTCCACATTTTCTTCATGGTGAGCACCCAGTGCTATTAAAACATTCAGTGCTGGGAAAGGATAGATACAGTCTTCACTACTGCTTTAAGAAAGGAAATTCCTACATATTTGGCAGTCTTCAGTATCAAAGTGTAGGTGTTTAACTAGAAATCCCATAAATACCCAAGTTTGGAGACAACTGCATGTCCAAATATTAGAAAGGTAATTGAGGAGGAAAATTCCACTTTTGAGACTGAATTACTTCAGGAATATTCATGTGTTGAGTATTATCAAAAGTAATATTACTTTGGGCTAAGCAGTGACTGCAAAGGCACAGCAGATCATTATCCCTCCAGATTCAGGCTGTAAAACTTGAAAAGCTCTTGATGCCAGACAACTGCTGTGTTTAGTTTATCTTCTTTTAACAGTGTCTTTGTATCTGTATCCAGTGTAGCGTACCATAATAAAGCTGTGGTTCAAAGAACAGAACTTTATACAAAAATTATACTGTAAATAACCTAAAGTAATACACTCCTGAAACTTCAGGCATTTAAACAATTTCTTTAAAAAAAAAATCTATTAAAAAAATTGCATAAATGTAAATGCTTCTGACTAGCAGGAAAACATACAAACAGTTTTTAAAAGGCGCTGGTTGTGTTTAGAGCAAGTTTGATGTGCTCCTTAACTTCCAGATGTTTCCCATTATGCTATTTTCATCACTTCGCTTAGACAAAGTTTAAATCGAATGACAGGGGACTTTCTTTTTTTGTCAATTCATCCATACTTCACTTGACTGGTTTAAAAAAAGTTTCTTCTTCTCACGTTTCTTTGAGCTAACAGTGGGTGGCATACAGAGCTTGCATACAACACACTTTTACAGAGGTTACGAACTAAACGGTCATTAAGAGAACACAATTTTGTTAAATTATTTACCTGGTCCTTTATGCTATTCTGGGTGCAAATAATATAAAAAAATGGATAAATTTTGCTATTTCCTCAGTGACAAAAACGTATCCCAGAAATGTCCTTGCAAAGAGTTTCCCTTAAGTATACAATGTGGCAAAACTTCAGAGATCAGAAAAGTCTAAAAAAAAATTAAAATTAGTGCATATACAAGTGGAAAAAATAAAAGCAGGAACATCATGCACCTGATGTGTTCCTTAATCTAAAATAAATTCTTCACAGATAAAGCCTCCAATGGCAGCCTTAGCTCTAGGATAAGTGAAACATTCTTCCCTTCAAGTAACAGTGTACCTGACTGAAGTGCAAGCAGCTTTGCTCATCTCCTGTTTGTTTCCCAAATGTGAAATGAGATGACAACAACAATTCAGCTGTAGTGCAATTTGCTATCGTTTAAGTTCCTCAGCAATGTCCTGCATGCTTTCAGCAAATACTACAACTGACCATTTGCGGCTGCAATCAGTTCTTGAAAAGTATTTTCAAAGCAGCGTTTTAAATCGCTGTAAGTTACCACAAGTACACTCTTCTCATCTCTGGAAATGAGGCTTATTTTTTCTGGCACACCAGCATCTAACTGTAACAAGAATGCAAAAGATAAAATAAAAGAAGTGTGAAAGAAATGGCAAAACATTTCCCCAATAACAAAAGCAATCAATTTCTTGGCAAGTGCGTTGTCGTGGGGCGATTCAGATCCTTCCTTTCTGTGGTGTTAGCAGATTTGAACTGCACCACAACAACGTACTTGCCAAAAAAATCCGAGACATTTTGGTCTTAACCTGATGGACATTCCAGACCTTTGGACTAGGTTACCATTGTTTTTCTTCCCTTTCCATAAAGCTCATAATCCTGCAATGCTATCTTCCCCTGTGGGGAAAGCCTAGCAAAAGTTCTGCATCGCCCCTGATGAACAAAACCACATTTGACATTACATTTGCACAGAAGATCCACAAGTCTCCACACAGAATAGGTAAATTACTTCTTGCACACTCTGCAATGAAATAATGGATAGACCAGCCCCGGGTAATCTGAAAACTAGTACAAACCCAAACCTGTTTCTGGGAGTACTGTAAACAAACTAGTTCCTAAACTGTATGGCACACTTAATCCCTTACTCTTAGGAGGAAAAAGAAAAAAAGAAAAAAACCTACCTAAGCAAATCCATAAGCAAATAGGTAATTTGGGGTTAAAGACTAAAGTGAATTCCACATTTGTCTTCATGTTTTGTTCTGACTTCTCAAATTCAATATTTAAAACCTGTATGTTATACTATGTATCTTAGAGATGTACCACTAAATTCTAATTTGGAAGAGATGAATATTCTACTTTACATGAAGTCCTTTCCAACACTCTTATCTTACATTATCCTTACTTTGCAAGAATTGTTCATCAATGGGGAACTGTCAGACTCTCCCATAATGCAACACTTTTGTAGCCCTCTTTTAGCAGACATATTGATATTTCAAAATCCTTTATACTACAAGCTTTCTTGTTCTTATACAGAAGGTGGGGCAGCAACAAGTGGGATATGACACTATTGAGATTATCTTTGGAAATACAACCCCCACAGATTAAATAAATCTATTATAATGTTGTACTGAATAGGAGAAGAATAATTAAATTTGTCACTGTTCCACTGGCTGTTGTTTGGATCTACACAAGTTAGAAATTTCTTGCATTTGTCCTCTAAAATAACATTCTGAACATAACCCACAAAACTGGAACCTTCCAAATTCAAAGTTCCAGCTTTGTGAATAGCTTCAGAAGTAAAAAAGCAAGCCAATTAACTTTTAATTCTTGTAGAGTAGGATAAGAACAGCTCTCTTTTCCAACATCCATTCCAAAATATTATTACTATGAAGGTATTTGTGAAATACTGTCTACTGTTCCCATTAGAATCATTCAAGAAATGAGCAAATTACCTTAGTGAGTTTAGGATATGGAAGATCTGTATTAAGAAAGCCACACAGCTAACTAGAAACATCAATATTCATGGCTTTCTTTCCTCCTGTGGAGGCATGAATTAGTATCTCAGTTGAAAAGATCCCCTAAACGCCATGTTGAAAAAAAGGTTTTTTTAAATAACAGAGTGATTTTCATTCAAAAGGAATGCTTTTGGAGTGTAGCTGGAAAGCCCAAATAGTCCCTTCTACTGTTGCAAACTTCAGTTTCAGAAGTGTTTTTTGGAGTGTATTTCCAAAGTGGCAGTCTGTAAGCCTTACATTTTTTGTGTGGTGAGCCCACAACCACAGAAAGACAAGAGCCTCTGTTTAAAAAGGTAAGCCATGAACATTTATAGAACAAGGCATTCTTTGACACCATCTCTTACCTGACCTATGAATTCAGGACTGTCCCCTCTTGCTACAGTACTGTACAGGTCACTGCTTTCAAATCATGATGGCATTTCACTGCCTATTTGAATATCAACATGCTTTCTTTTTGATTTAGCCTCAATCCCTTTAATGTCCTTTTTGAAGTGATTACAGACACCAACCAGAAAGATAAAAAGGTTAAAGAAATGCACAGCAGTGGTCTAATAGGAGATTAAAAGCCTTGACAATTTAAAAAGATTTAACTATTGTTAAGTCAGTCATTACATGTCAAAGGAACTGAATACATTCAATTTTTTCTGGAAGAGGAAGTTTGCTATCCTAATCCTAGAAAAGACTAGCCACTGAAACTATATACTGTCAGTGTCTGCATCACCATTTGTTATGGAGTGAGTGGAATGACCGAGCAGCTACAAAAGAAAAAAAAAAAAAAGGCAGCATCTAAGTCTCCTATGAATCACTGAACTTTGGTGAAACAATGTAAAATAAATTGAAAGCTGATCTGCCAATAAAAAAATAAATCAGCTCATGTACTTTTTTTAATTTATGGAGCAAGACAAGTTCTACAGCTACTGAAGATACCGTTGTCTCTCACGTGTTTCCTGCTATGAAACATGAGAGTGCTCAGCTAGAATTTTGCTAGTGGTACAGCTCTTGAAAAACTGCCAACAGCTTTGTTAAACCAAACTTGGAAAACATAGGGCTAGAGAGGCTAGGGAAGTTATCAGAAGTGGCCTTAACATTTTAAGTCACAAATATCTTCCAGTACTGTCCTATATGGTAAGGATTTTTCCCAAATTTCTACTGCAGTTTCCCTCCAGATGTGCCATCCTATCTCCTGCTCTGCTTCTCACAGTTTAGGAATGGATCCTCTTGCCTTACAACCATCCCATCATAACTGTATCAACAAAAAACTCCCCCAGTTAAAGGGCTTTCACGGATCCTTTATGCTGTGTTGAGAGACCAGAGTAGCATAAAGGGACCAGCATTGCTTATCCACAGTATTTGATGCATTCTAGATGAAGTTAATACTGTATCTCATGCTATATTACTGAATCTCAAGTTTTAATATTAATGGACTAAGTTTATTTAAAATATCCATAAACGTTCAAATATTAGCTTAGTGAATACATTGTTTTCATCCAAAACAGGGGCAAAATAACCATGAGTTAAATCAACAGAATTAACTTTGAAGTGGAATATTATGTCAAGCAAAGTTAACCCAAACAGATTTTTAAAAGCTAACCCAAGTACAGTGTACCTTGTTAAGACATGAGATAATGTGACTGAGGTCAATCCAAGGAGTACCCGCTTCTGTCACCTGATGGAAAAGGTGATCTCGAAAGAGCTTTAGTAAATACCTGTCTCCAGTTTCTGACCACGTTGGGTCTTTCTGAAACCTGGTGTTAAACAAAGGCTCATGTTAAAGATCAGAAAGTTAAGAAAAATCAAAACCCACAGATATACACAGCTTCAATCTAAACTGGGTATATCTACTCTACACAGTTTGCTACAGTTAAAGCAAGCTACAGATTTCCTCCAAAACTACAGTCACACAAAAGAGTCTGCTAAGAGAAACCATGCTAAAAAAAATGAAGTATCTTTGGCACACTTAACTGAAAGCCTTCTCCTTTATTAAAATTTTAGTTTAAGTTGCTTATCTTATTTTTATCAAGGCTTCTTAAACACTCCTTTCTTTGGGGCATTTATGGGGAAATGTTTAGCTTAAATTTACAACAGAAGAAAGCTTGCATTGCAAACTGGATTTTGCATGCTCTACACCATGAAAACAAGTATTTCTTACTCTGGCCTCTCATTGATTGTTCCCAATTTTGCTAGAAGCCTAAACAACCTTCCATTTTGCACCTCCTAGAAAACAGGAAAGAGGATATTAAAGTTTATGAAACAAATTAAGACACTTATTTGCAAAAGATACATTATTGATTACACTGGCAATATTAATTACAGTAGATTTTTTAATCTAAGAAGAGGATATTTTTTCACAAAAATATTAGTGCATTATATTGTGTATTGGTAGGCCAATAATCATTTTAACACCTCATATTCAAATTATAATGTACAGATTTACCAGTTAAAGACACCTTGCTTCCCCAGCTGAAACTAGATCAGGCAATTTCTTTGTGGAAACATAAGTCTAGTCTCTTGGCAACCTATACTTACAGGTATGCTAAAATATAGTAAGTTAAACAAGAAGAGAGTTTATATATATATATATATATATATATATACACACACACACAGTTAGAAAGACCTGTACAAGTATAGAGTACATCACCTTATTTCAGGCAAAGACGAGAAGGAACATAATTTACCAGATTTGTTTTTCAGAAATGCTTTGTAGGCCATTAAGTAAATATTTAGCAATAATATCAGACTAACATTCAAATTACTATATATTCCAAATATAACTCTGAAACAAGTTTTTCCAAAAAAGTTAGAATTCAAGTCAGAGCAGCATATTCCAAGTCCATCAACAACAGAGATGAAGCAATGAGAACATGCTCACACAAAAGACAGAAGATTAGAATTACAGATGCTTAGAATACATGCAATTGAAAAATCAACTTCATCTCACTTAGGATACAGTAAAAAGAGTTACATCCTATCTTAAGATTAAACTACAGTGTAATAATATAAGTAAAACCTGCTCAAAGCTGGCATGAAAAAGATTCTCTCCTGATATTATTCATATCCTCCAATGGCCCAGCTCTCCAACATTATCCATGCTAAGCTGCATCTCATGATCATATTGATTTCAAATGAATTCAGTCTGGAGTAGATTACTGTGCACAGCTGGGTAAATAGAGTAGAACAAGGTAATAACAGCTTGACCTCAGACAACCTATGGGTTGGTCAAGAATTCTATTACCAGTCTAGAAAACACAGAGCACAATAGCTTGTGTCACAACTGTAGCTACACTTCAAAACTAACAGGGAAGACTTACCTGTTCCAGCTAGCAGAGGTCTACATAACCTCCAAATAATTTTTTTGTATGTGGCCAAAACCACAAAAGCCTCATCTGTGTGAATACCACTGCCTTTCAGAGTCTCAGTGAGCAGTAACACTGGCACTAAATCTCCAGGTGGCCTCTCTGCAGGCTTGGTAGACTGTAAGATGGGGAGCTCTACAGAGAGGATTAGAAGACTTGAAAAACTGAGGCTTTGAATACTGTGACATATAGATGATAGGAATATTAAGATAAGGAAGGAAAGGGATAGCATAAGGGAGTCATGGCTGTGTGAACAGTGAGCATTACAAGAGTAACAAAATATTGATGGTTTCAAGAAAAAGCTACATACAACCTACTTCCAGCATCAGAAGCCCCTAAGCTACAGATTACTGCAGGCTTAGAGGATACAAGGAAAAATACCATACATGCTAGTCTTATCCTAATACGCTCCCCAGAGCATCTGCTTTGTGGCAATAATGACAAGAGGGTATCAAGCCAGACTTAAGGCGCGCTGTAGCTCTGATGGTACAAAGGATGTGGTAGTACAAACAAGTTACAGTATGATCGCTAATTAACAACTTATTTATCACTGCCAGGTTAACAACTGTTACCAAAGTAGGGGCTACACAACAGCTTGGATTTGTAGTGGCTCTGCTCACCAGCCAGCGATAAGCAACTGCTGCAAACCACCTGACTGAAGATGCAGACTGCTAAATATTGATTACAGGGCAATCTTCATCTTTATTATGGGAAAAGGTCCACCTGCTCAAACTTGTGCAGGCATATTGGGCACTTTAACAAGAAATTATCTTAAGCATCTTCAGAGCATGAGTAGGGGTTGACTGATAGAATGGGCAACAGCCATCTCTGCATCCAAAGAAGATACTACCTTGCTCTTCTACAGCTCTTTGCTTCTCAGTGTTGCTAGAAAATCTTGTGGTCAGTAGTTTCTGATGAGCAGACAATTAAATACACACTAACATGGAACAAAGTACATATTTCCTTAGTAACTAGTGCTTGATACCTCGACTGAACTTGATAGACTAACCACACCCCCACGGCAATGGGTGCACACTTCAGAGAAGCTGAGGACGACAGCCTTTAACTCCAGCATTCATTTGAAAAGGAAAACATATAAGTAAAGGGACGCTGTAATCCAAATCTATCCAAGAATTTAAAAGCAACGTTTCTTGCTCTGTAATCTCGAGCATCAACTACACAATATAGTGTGTGTGACATGCATGGCCTTACTCAGAATGCTGCTTTTTAACCATTCTATGTAGAACGTCTATTCCCCAAGAGTGCTGGTTAGACAGGAAGATATTACTTCAGTTAAAGCCCAGGTAAGAACTTCAAACTAGTGGTTCTTGGAGTTTTTTGACTTTCAATACCTTGAGCTCAGACTGCTCAAGTTTGAAGGCAGATTACTTAGATTGCTAAACAAACAAAAAAGCCCAGTATAAAACCTCTTAAAGTACAGCTGTAGAAATACTGACTATACATCTTCCTGTAGGAAGTACTAAACGCTTTACCTTTGCAAGGTCTTCCTCTATTACATCATTTCGCATCTGAGCAGCATCCAACTGAGTATAGAATCGTGCACCAATCATAGGCATGATATCATTTACACTGCGAAGCCTGTTTTGGTCAGTCAGCAAATACCTGCCAAAATATCCCCATTCCCAAAAAAGATTACTTTAACATGTGCATCTACCAGAGAGATCATCCTAGTATGATTTTAGAATTATTTGACCCTGGTGTCTCTTTTCGTACACGAAGTTGACAATTGCAGCATTTCTTTAAAACAGTACTAAGAGAGAAAATGTGTGTGTTAAGTTACATGTACCCACTCAATCCATGATGCATACAAGACTGGAGTGTACTTTCATGGAACTGCATAGTTCACCCACTCAACAGTAAGAACATACTCAAAAAGAGACAGATTCAGATTGCCATGCAATTGTTTTTCAAATGAGGGAGGGAATAGATTTCTACTTTTTCCTCCTAGGTTGCAAGAGGAGAAAGGCTGACTATACTAAAGAACAACACAAAACCATATGCAGCCAAGCAAAACTAGCACTTAGCCCTTTGGTCAAAAAGGCAACATGCCTATTTCTCAACACCTTCTGAACTGTAAGATAAGACTAGCATATTGCTATGGTAAATACTAGGCAAATACACCCAGGATTGAAAACAATTTAAAATGCTGATTCTGTTCAAGCTCCTAATTCTTATTATGAGCTTTAACAGCACTTAATAAAGAAAGGACATTTTATTGGATACACCATGAAAATACATATTATACAAACAAATCTTGAATTATGTTTAATGATGCATTGACTGTGCAGACAACTCAATTACAGTATTTACGTCAGTAAACTTTTACTTGCATATAAAAATTTAATGTGACTAATTTTTATGTTTCAAAAAGTAGTAATTTTCTTTTAAAAGATTAAGCAAACTTACAAAATCAGATTCTTCAGATCAGAGGAATAGTTGATTGTCACCAGTTCCATTGCTTTCTGCAAATTCTCTCTCTGAATTCCTGATAAAGAATTGCAAGCCAAAGCCAACACAACTTTCCCCAGGGAGATCAGATCTGCTTGCTAACAGGGAAAACAAAACAGATACAATTCTTAGTATACATTAGCATTACCTATGGTACTAAATGGTGCTGAAAGACAGACAGTTCTTCAATAACCTTAGAAGAATTTGAGCAACTAAAATAATTGTTATCCAAATCACAGCTCAATATGACTATTCAAGTTGCAGTAGTCAAAATACACAGGAGAAAATCTGTCCTAATACCTAGCAATTTTTAAGTAATATATTTATCTTGGAATGCTTAAAATCTACCTATGTTTAGGCTTAAGGAAATTAGAAGAGATAACTCTTGCGTAATGACCAGAAGGTTCTCCTAACGACCTACCTGCTCACTCCTGATGAGTCAAGGAGATGGTGCCAAATAGGGCAAGTCTTCTCGATAGGAGATGCAGAAATACCTATCAAGGACTATTTGTTAGAACAGTATCAGCATTTGCGGAACTCGTAACTTCTCACACTGGCATCCATGCCAGGTTCCAGCAAATGATGCTTCTGTTTTAACAAAGAGCTCAAAGATTTTCACCTTTGATAGCCAGTGTGAAAAGATATAAACTGCCTGAAATAAGACAGGAACAGGCCTATATGGCTCATAAATTGAGCAGCGTCACATTTTATGAAGAAATCCTAGGCTTTACTAAAAGGCTTTCCTTAAAAGTAGAACTGCTCTTAAAAGAGGAACACTGCATGCAGGCTGCTTTTGCCACAACAAAAAATTCTGCCCATTTTAATAGACAGCCACCAGAAAATACTTTGAAAAGCTACAACAGATTTTAAAGTTCATGCCTGAAAACAGGAACCTAATGACATTCATAGCAAAAGCTTCCTGATTCTTTCCATGGGAAGCTTTCAGCTGCACATAACTTGGGCAAACATGAAACACTTGCAGCTTTCTGTGCTGGTTGCCTGCCTCAAAATGAATTTAAGAGTCAGTTAGAAATACAAATTTAGTATTTTTCTGACCAAGATATTTTTGCAAAAGTAAAAAAGTGAACACTACTAACTACCAAGAACCTCAGCTCCACAGTCTGGGATAAGGCTATACTGTTTAGCAGAGAACACAGCCATACAAGGAATACACCTTCTGTTCTTCCTGTAAGAAAGGCTGAACATTTTTGTAGCACAGCAACATTAAAATTTCCATTTAGGGTTTGGCAGCTTTAGAAAACTGCTGCGATCGTGAACACATCACAGCCCCTCCATGCAGAGCATAACCATGTTTGCTGCTTCTGGGTGCAGTAGCTGGTCAGAGCTTTCCTTGCAGTCACATCTCCCAGATGTTGAGGGACAGAGTAAAGAAAACATTTCCAAGTCTCTCAACATCCCCACTGTTTCCATACCAAGTATGCACATATCAAGCAGCACAATTTAAACATGGATACGCAAACATGGCACATGTTAAAAAGCCTGGTTGTCTTGTAGCTAAGACAGAAATGGGATGTGGAAAATGAGACAGAAATAAGGACAAATGATGGAGAAGGACATGGAACTGGCATTTACTAGATTTAATTTCTGAAGGAACCAGGAGTTCCTGAGTATCAATCAGCATTCCCTTACACCTTGGTAAACAGAAATTAACCAGAGCAACAAATCATGTTTGGATCCCAAGTGGGAATCCACTTGCTTCCACTACCAAGTAGTCCATTTGAGCCACAGAGGACACCACTATAGTACTGAAAAGCAATTAAATTGATGAGACTCTTAACTGAAGATTTTTGTAATTCTACAAGACTATTCCGATTTTGAGCAAGCTGAACTGATCTCTGGAGCTGTCTCATTTACTGAGAGCTGAATCCCTGAAAGAAAATGTCATTATGATGCCCAATGCTTGAAGTTTTACAAGTGCACAAAGGCAGTAATTTTCCTGTGTGATACAGAAATCCTAGAATATCTCAAGTTGGAAGGGACCCATCAAGATCAGAATTTATGGAAGCCAGGTACCTATTTTAGAAGGGACAAAACTATCATCCACTGACCAGCTCTGTCCATGCAAGACAGAATATACAACATCCCAGAAAGTGTATTACACTATCCGTTCTGTAAGGAAGCAACCCACATATGGCTATTAAGCCCTAACAACCCCTCTGAAAACATCAACAGATTCAGCTCTTCCTGCTTTTAGGCAGAGAACGTTTAAAGGAGGCACATAAGAACTACCAGACCTCCTTTGAGAAGGAACACCAAAATAAAATGCTGTCTTCCTCTCGCAGCCTTGCCATTTAACTAGCAATTCAATTCATAACTGTAACCTGTACCAACCTGTCTTTTTACCTCCTGAAAGCTTTGCTAGCCAAGATTTTATCACCATCACTAGTTCATTGATAGATATATTAAATAGCTTTAGACTAAGAACCAGCCCCTAGGAGATAAATTCAGAAACAGCCCTCTTCATTAATGTCTCCCTGCTATAAAATCAATTTTAATATGTCAGTGAACAATTTAAAAGTTAATTGAATAGGCACCTTTTTTCCCTTCTGCATATTTTTTTTTTAACATTAAAAAGGTATGTACTGTTATGCCAAATGCCCTGGAGATATCTCACCATTTTATACAGTTGGGTTTATCAGCCAGACATGTAAGCTAGTCAAATAAATCTTATTTTTTAAAAGACATGTTTTCCTTAAATTCTTTGAAACTGACATTACTTTGTTTATCCTGTTTCACTGCTTTGCTTGGATCAATACCAGCTCACCCAGTCTACAATTCTGTGGATTTGCTTATCCTTTTAAGTTCTTAAATTGTACTTAGAAGTCCCTTCAAGTTCCTCCAAGTTTTATTCTTTATTTTTTTGAAGTCAATGTTAATACTTCAGCAGCTAGTTTTTTTAAATTTGGGGAGGTGTATATGAAAGTTATTTTGGTTTGCTAAATTAAAAATATTTACTTGGAGCAAAGGTAACCTTATAGCCCTCATTAAGTCAATAAAACTTGTGTTTTCTCTCCATTTTGTATGGAAAGGACTCACCTTTTATTTCAAATAAAGAAATATTTATTAAAGCTTTCTACTGTTTCCTACATTACCATTTTTAGGTTTCCCACCTGTATCTTGTAATTGACTGGTACAGAACTTAAGGATTGGGGTGTGGGAAGTGATGTGCTAGCATTTATACAGGTTTAACACCTTGTTTTTAATGCAAGTGGCCATTCATGTTTCATTTATTTCTTTTTAGTTTCCCTTATCATTGCCTTTATTTGACTCATATAAATTAATGTGTTTAACACAGATTGTAAGGAACAATTGCATTCCTTTTACATAGCCCCTCACTGTTCTGGCCAAATGCTTTCCTATCTATATTAACAACGGGAAATAGTCAGAGTGACAGATACTAGCAAAAATACCTTCCTCCACTGAAGACAGCAACAAGGAAATGCATATTAGCTGGGCAGTAAACCAAGAGATAACCTACATTTTTAAGTCACAGGACTCCCAGAGGAATTCAGGAACTGTGTCATGGATCGAGAGGAAAAAGGACAAGCAGCAGCTGTTATTTTGTATTTTTATCTGGCTAGGGCAAACAGAGGTAGAGGATGATAAATGACTCCTGAATTTCAAGGAATTAACTTAGTTCAGAATCTCTGAAAGAATAAAATGGATAGTGACAGCCTAGCTTTTCTAGAGGAAGTGACAAAAAAAAGCAAAACAATTTTTGCTACTCCCATTTAGACCTTCCAAATGACATGCTTAAAAATGCCATGATATCTGAACAACCTGGATATTAGTAATGTAAAAAACATGCAAAAACATCCCCCCTAAACAAAACCAGGCACTATCACGCAAGTTATTTGCCAAGAGCTGGCCTACTATGGTCGTAAATGTTCTTGACAGATCCATGTGCCTGCAAGTATTTTTCGATTTGTACCTCCAAGTAAATTAAAAGTATTGCTTTAAAATTACTTGAACACCATAATCTCTCAGGGGGATCTCTTTCCCAGCTGCAATTAAAAAAAAAATAAAAATGAAGGATCTAGATTTTAAACAAAAATTAATTACATTTTTAGGAACGGAATCCCTAACTTGCATGTTTTCCTATCTTCTCTCAGCTGTTTTCCAGTAAATTATTACCAAAAGCTCACTGATATGTAGCTGGGCAGAGGGGGAAATCTTTGATGTACTCAAAATACAATGAAAACGGCTTTGATGTACTCAAGTATCATTAAAAAAAAGTTGCCATGTTCTAGGACATGGTCTCCAATAAGCTAGTTTCTGTCTGGCCAAAGCTCAAAAATTTCATTTATTACTGGAAGACTACGAATGATCAGTTTTCTCAGAGTGAATTAAACTCAGTTCATGAAAATAAATTAAATCCAAGTCCCTGCTACAGTTTTCACTCCCAGGATGGACAGGGTACATGGCAACTACTGAAGCTATGTACTTTATCCTGAGGCGTAGTTAGGAAAAGAAGGCACTCCTGTACTGGGTGATGCTCCAAATATCTACGGAACAGGATTTTTTAAGTATAAAGTGATTCTTCTTAATGCAGGAATTATTTAGAGTCCACACTTCAGAGGACACCAGGAGAGCATCAAAAAACTAGGAGCCTAAAACAAAAGATACAGTAGAACCTTTCAGGAGTGAGAAAAAGTCTTAAGTGCAGTTATTTAGAATATATCTTACTCATCTGTGGACAGGTATTCAACAGTTAGTTATTTCTATTAACATTTTTTTAAAAACAGATCAAAAGCTATTATTGAACCATTACTTGTTGATCTTTAACACTAAATTTAAGTTTTTTCTTTTCCTTCCTTTAGAAATTCATATTTCCAGCAATTTCTAACTTGTGTGTTAAATACTAATAGTTCATCCTGTTGATGGATTTGTTGAAACTTTAGAAGCAAAAGATAGCACAATGAACATTCACATTTATAAATTACAAGCAAATTAGAATAATGTATGGCTATTTCCAGCAATTTCTAACTTGTGTGTTAAATACTAATAGTTCATCCTGTTGATGGATTTGTTGAAACTTTAGAAGCAAAAGATAGCACAATGAACATTCACATTTATAAATTACAAGCAAATTAGAATAATGTATGGCAGAACCAAGATTAAATTAGTAATAAAAAAAGTTATTTAGAGATAGATATACTGGACTACAGCTTAATTAGAGTACTCGTCTTCCAGAAGGAATCACACTAGTGCCTGTGCCAAGTCACCAGCCTAACCATGGTGCTGTTGTCTTACCTGAAACTGAGCCATTAGTGCCAGTGGATTGTTTTGACTGTTGTCAAATGTTAAAACATCAAAGATTCCAACACAATTAACTCGTAACCTTTAGGAGTAAGAAAAAATAGTGTCATTACATTTGGTTGGTTAATCGATTTCTCCTCTATCATTCATTGAATGCTTTGATATTACCAAAAAAATCACTTAGCAAATGAATGTAAAGCAGAAAATACTAATTTTAATGTTTGATAAAATGCAACAGACTATCTTCAGTTAACAAATCAATCAACACATTTCTAAATTGTCAGTACAGACCTGATCAGTATTTTGAGAATAATGCAGAAGTCTTCCTGAAATGTGTTTAAATATAACTTTCTAGTTGCACTCTGCTGTCACTGTAACAGGTGCAGTGTCAGCAGCGACCATGAACAGAGATGACAGTGAGAATGATCACTTTTCATTACCTTGTTTTGCCTGTTACTAGAATCTTGGTTGGATCCATGACTCGGCACGCCAGTCCTGCTGTATGAATGGTCCGTAAGGCAGAGCTGAGCTGCACAATATATGCCCATATCAAAGACTCTGGAAGTAATCCAGCATGCTGCCGTGGTAGAGGTCCATCATGCTGACCTAGAAACAAAACGTTGTAAGCATCAAAAAAAGGCTACCACATAAAACTCAATTTAGTACATTTTGAATTATAGAATTGATTCACATAGTCATTTAATTCAACTCTTAACAGTCCTCAAAAAACTTATCTGTTATGGTCTTAATTGGTTGGGTTTGGTTTGTTTGGATTGTTGGGTTTTTTTGGAAGGATGCCACATTTTTAAATGCTGAGAATTCATTAGGTATTATTTTCACTGTCACGTTTTAAAATTTAGGATGAATAATCACTGCAAAGAGAGAACTCATTACAAATCACTGAAGATGGGTGGTACAGCAAAATGCATAAGCACTTCAGAAGTGAAATTGCCAGCAATGTGAAACAATGAGCCTGTACCAGCTGCAACAGATCCCATTTTACCTCCTTTATTGTATGAGGGCTTACAAATTAAACTTTTCCTATCACCTGATAAAACAACATAAGCTAGTTTAAAATTACATGAACGAATCAGACAAGGTTTGGTGGCTAAACATCACTGAACAAAGCTTCATGTATGTTGTGCTGTGACCCAGCTCACTGACAAGCCACCACTGCATGACCCCTGCCCAGTGGGCCGTACAAAACCAATTCATTGCTCCCCTACTAAATGGATTTTTAGTCCTCCTTTCATAAGTAAAGCTAATTCTTTGCAAATACACATCAAAATTCTACATTGCAAACTGCTTCTGAGTAATACTGAGCCAGAGATTAAAAAGGAAAGATACAGATAACTGATGCTATTTCTCCTAAGATACATGTAATACAAAGAAGTTGCTATCTTTGCATGGCACAAAGCTGAAGAGATGTAAATATATCCAGAGTTTTGTAACATCTCAATGTTACAAAATATAAGAAGCATTTCTTGAGGATACTTCAGTATTGATTTTGCTAAATTTTGAGACAAGTAATATCTTTGGTATTCAGTAAAATCATTCAGTAAAAGCATCCAGCTCCGTCATAAACTTATTGCACTCCCTCCTTCAACCATTAGTTTCCTGGATTTTGCTTCAGTTCGTGGGTTTTTTTAATCCCACTCTCCCTAGAGGACCACATTAACATCTATGCACTTGGTCAAAATAAGCATGCGTGTGTGTGTACACACAAACACATCCGAGAGAGCAAAAGTGAAAAAGATTACACCAAAACTTTTAATTAGAAATTTTACTGATTTGGGAGTGATGGGCTGGGAATGTTTCTAGATTTCATCTTTCAGGGTTTTTTTGCTTTTGAAATTTAGTTACTTTTTCAGGTTTAATGTACTTTGGTTTAGATTACAAAGACTAGGCCACTGACTCCTTTAAATAGCAGTAAGCCTGGCATGTCTACTGAAAGCTGAATATAATGAGATGTTCTTTGTTTTTTCTGGCCTTCTGATGAATCATTATGCAAATCACTTCCCACAAACCAGCACACCAACAAGTGTCACATAGCAAACCTTTCTCCTCATGATTCTCTCTTCTTCAGCACGACAAAAATTACAATACACAAGATATCATCTGTATATCCTCTTCTATTAGTTTATAGTTATCTGTCTAAACCCCCTTTGTTAGCTGAGGCTTTCTCTAGTTCCTACTTGCTGATATAATATACTTTATATTTGGTAAACAGCAACATGTGTAACATATGCTTAATAGGAATGTGTACGGACACTGTAAGTGTCAGTACGAAATAAGTATTTCCAGAATAAAAATGTTGCTATAATATCCCAAAAAGAGAGAAAAGCCAAAACTTGTGGAATATTTTTCTGCGTGCAACTTAAAAACCAACAAGATTTGCCATTTAATTTCCAGATAAAGCAAAGTAACCAAGAGCAGCTAGGGATAGGGTTAGGAAAGACAAATCCCTGGTAGAATTAAATCTTGCCAGGGACATTAAGAACAGTAAGAAAAGGACAACCAAGGAGAGTGTAGGCCCTCTCCTGAAGGAAAGGGGCAAGGAAGCAACACAGGATATTGAGAAGGCTGAGGTCCTCAATGACTTCTTTGCTTCAGTCTTCTCTGGCAGGTGCTCCAGTCTCAACACAAAGGCCACAGCAGGTGAAAGCAGGGACTGGGAGAATTAATTACCCCACACTGTAGGAGCAGAGCAGGTTCACGGCCATCTAAGGAAACTGAAAGTGCATAAATCTACGGGACCTGATGGGATTCACCCACAGGTCCTGAGAGAGCTGGCAGATGAAATTGCTAAGCATCTGTCTATCATATTTGAAAGGTTATGGCAGTCTAGTGAGGGTCCTGCTGATTGGAAAAAAGGAAACATAGCCCCTATTTTTAAAAAGGGGAGAAAAGAAGACCTAGGGACCTACTTGTCAGTCTCACCTCTGTGCCTGGCAAGATCATGGAGCAGATCCCCTTGGAAAGTCTGCTAAGGCACATGGAAAATGAAGAGGTGATTGGTGACAGCCAACATGGCTTCACTAAGGGCAAGTCATGAGCAATCTGGTGGCCTTCTACAACAAGGCTACAGAGATGGTGGATGGTGGCAGAGCAACTGATGTCATCTACATGGATCTGTGCAAGGTGTTTGACACTGTCCCACGTGACATCCTGGTCTCCAAACTGACAAGGCATGGATTTGACAGGTGGAGCACTCAGTAGATAAGAGATTGGCTGGATGGCCCCACCCTGAGAGCTGTGGTCAATGGCTCAATGTCCAAATGGAGGCAGGTAATGAGTGGTGTCCCTCAGGGGTCAGTACTGGGACCAGTGCTGTTCAACATCTTTGTTGGAGACATGGACAGTGGGATTGAGTGTATCCTCAGCAAATCTGCTGATGATACCAAGCTGTGTGGTGTGGTTGACACCCAAGAGGGAAGGGAGGCCATCCAGAGGGACCTTGACAGGCTGGAGAGGTGAGTCAGTGCCAACCTGATGAAGTTCAACCAGGCCAAGTGCAGGGCCCTGTACCTGGGTTGGCACAACCCCAGGCACAAATACAGGCTGGGGGAAGAATGGCTGGAGAGCAGTCCTGAGGAGAAGGACTTGGGGGTGGTAGTTGATGAGAAGCTCGACATGAGCCACCAGTGTGTGCTGGAGCCCAGAGAGCAACTGCATCAAAAGAAGTGTGGCCAGCAGGGCCTGGAGGTGATTCTGCCCCTCTACTCTGCTCTGGTCAGATCCCAGCTGGAATACTATGCACAGTTCTGGGGCCCCCAGCACAGGAAAGACCTGTTGGGGAGGGTCCAGAGAAGGACCACCGAGATGATCAAAGCCCTGGAGCATCTCTGCTATGAAGACAGGCTGAGAGAGTTTGGGCTGTTCAGCCTAGAGAAGAGAAGGCTCCAGGGAGACCTTATAGCATCTTCCAGTACCTGAAGGGGCTACAGGAAAGCTGGGGAGGGGCTTTTCATCAGAGAAGGTAGTGATAGGACAAGAGGAAATGGTTTTAAACAGAGAGGGGAGATTTAGGTTAGATATTAGGAAGAAATTCTTCACTATAAGCGTGGTGAGGAACTGGAATGGGTTGCCCATGGAAGTTGTTGATGCCCTATCCCTGGAGGTTTTTAAGACCAGGTTGAATGAGGTTTTGTGCAACCTGGTCTAGTGGTTCCCTGCTCATGGCAGGGGGGTTGGAACTTGATGATCTTTAAGGTCACTTCCAACCTTAACGATCCTATGAATATTCAGCTGAAAAGCTGAAAGATCAGAGTTCAACACAACTCCTTCCTCTCAAACAGAAAAACTCAAGTGAGCAACAGCATCATTTTACTACTGGAAAGACTGGCTTGAGGCTACAACTGAATCTAGGCTGCTGCTTTCAGCAATTGGCTGCAGCCTGTGTTCCCACACACTAAAGGTACAAGCTAAGACAGCAGAAGAATCAGCTTTGAAATGTCCTTTTACGTATCTGTCTGTTCAAAACAAGATAAAAGCAGTTCAGTTTGCTGCAATGCTGACTATAAAATATGCCCTGTGATGGCCCATCAAGCCTGCCACATATGGCACTTGAGCAAGGTCCCAAGGAGATGAAACCCAAAAGCTCATTCTTTAGGCAAAACACAAACAGCTTTGGAAAACTTTTCAAAAAGAACTGAACAGAGGAGGAAAATAGTAGCAAGAATATACAACAATGTTACAAAAGCAATCAGAATTACTTTATGCCAAGAAGTGATACTTCAGAGGCTTCACGTTTGATTTGAAAAAGGCTTCCCAGCACAGACTGAATCCAAAGCTACAACATGCAAAATTTCAGATTATGTTCCTCTCACATATTGCAGAGGGCAGACTCTCCCATTACTTTGATTGTTGAGATGCAAAACATCAATACTAATGGAGAAGATGAAAAATTACAGAACAGCCATTCCAAAAACACAGGTTATCCATTACTTTCCCTTGCTGGGTTAAAATAAATAAATAATGCTGACACTGAGTTTATTTTTAAATTCTGTGGCATGATATTCTCCACCAAACAAGAAGTGTCTCCCTTCCACTGATGTGTGTATATTTCTTTTGTTTCTTAAAAAAATCATTGAAATGAAATTCAGTTCCCCAGAGCAAGAATAAAATCAGGCATAGTACCAGTGTGGGAAGGAAGAGCTGGGACAGCCAGCTGTAGAACCTGTTTTACATCATCAGGAACACTGTCAAAAAAGCATGCTAACAGCAGTTCTCAACAGTCATGAAAAAAACTCAGAAACCAAATAGAAGATGTAGCTACACACTAAATTTAACCCCTCAAGCCTGTAAATGAGTCTTTTGCATTGAGAACTGTGAATTGTTCAGTGTTTGCTTAGCGTTCCTGAGCTGAAGTACCACAAGTAAGATAAATGCAAAATCCTTCACTTCTCCCCTTTCTCCAGAGAAACCTGGGCTTCACAGTTTTCAACATGCAGAAGCATTATGAACTGCCAGTGCAGCACTATGTTTTTGAAAAAAATATAGAGATAGTGAAAACTTGAATTTACTTTGAAAAAGACGCAGCTTTTGGCAAAGGTGTTTTAGGATTCACATTTTGTCCTTGACATCACGTTGACTTTCAATATTCATATATCCTTCCTCCTCATCACAGTCTAAGTACACAACTAGCTCCTTTTTCAATGGGAGAGGTATTTTATAAAAAACATTCAGCAACTAGGGATATAAAATGTATAGCAGCAATGAAATACATTTTGTGCACTTCATACTACTAGTAATGTCCCCAAAGGAAAATAAGGTCCAGAAAACTTGGCTGTCTTCATTAGAAAGTATTTTGTTGCTGAAAATCAGAATCTGTTTTTGAAAACTACTATTAATACCATGTACACCAATGTATAATTACACTGCATGTTTTTAATAAACAGCCCAAGGAATATATCAAAGGCATGCTTATCTCTGCCAACTACAACAAATCATCTGGACAAAGAAAAGAACCTTACTGGCAGCAGAGGACAGTTATTGATAATTTGCCAGGATTTTCTAGCCATTAGTTTAAAAGACATACATTCCAAATGTGGTTTGCCATTTAATTATTGGACTGTTAAGAATCACATTTCTGTACTTTTCGGTTAACTTGCTAGTTTAAGGAGAACATCACTTCTGCAGAGATAAATGAACTAATGTACTATAATCTGAAGTTGAGAAGTATCAGGATGGCGGAAGGAAACAAAAGTTCTAGAATGATAGATTGAATGTTCAGACATTTTGAGAGAAATAAAGTATATTGAGGAAATGTGAGGAATTAGAATCAAACAAAAAGGAACTTTTCAAGTCAATGTACTCCAAGAAATAATTAAGTCAGGCTCCTGATTTTAAAACTTGTGAAACCTCAGTAAAACACAACAGGACAACCTCAGATATTGCACTCTATCGTCTGAAGAAAAAGGGTGTTTCATTGCATAAAGAAAACAAGCAATAAATTCTATAGAATTCAAAAGTAACAAAGACATCAGTTTGCAGTATAAAAATAAAAGCTACTATTCAGTTTCCCACACCAAATCTCTTTCAAAGTAGTTCTGTTACAGTGTCTGTAAACAGCACAGCAAGAAAAAAAAAAAAAAGACTGACCACACTGACATGCAAGACAGCTTTGTAAACCAGAATCCTCCTATTTTAAGTGTCAAAGTCTCATGTAGCCAACTGGAGTGTTCAACATAAATAAGGTTGCATACCTGAAATCAGATTCTCTGAGTTCACTGATCAGGTTCACAGTGTTGTGCCTCCTAAAACCTTTAAAAGCAACTGCACTAATCTGGGCCTCATGCTGTAGAGTACCCAACTTCCATCCATTCCCCTGCTTCTCTTGGGAGTCTCCTCTAGGCAGGCAGACGGCCAAGAAACTCTGTGAGGGGACGGAGAAAGGATCCGTGAAGGCAGGCAATTCTGAGAAATCAAGTTATAGGTATGCAATCTTATTTCTCTCTCAAATTGCTCCTTCTACTGAGGACCAGACTAGAAAGCGGCAGTTAAGAAAAAAAGGCAAAAACAAAGATTTGCAGAAAGATTTGGCAAAACTGGGGAATTGCAGGTGATTTTTTTCTAATTTATCTAAGACTGGAAGAGTAGGTAATGAAAAGTGCCACAGGCAGGAGAGAGTTCTCTTCCTTACATATCCCTGTAAATTCTGCCCCAACAGTTCATTTTAATTAAACAATATTTTGTTTTGCCTAAACAAAAATCTGTCTTATTTCCAGTTTCCAACACCATCTCTGCCTATAAAAGGAAGTGTTGTAGGTAAAAAATGGATAGTCCACTACCCAGTTTCCAAGACACACACACAAATCAGAACTGCTGCTTGCAATAGCTACCTGAGCATATGAACATCAACAAATGTTTACTGGCCTCTGATCACTTGCAGCTTAGAGAGCTCCTGAGCTAGAGACAGTGTTTTTGTAGTTAACAGTCCTCAAGTATTTCTTTTCCATGAGAAATCTCACTTTCTCCTTGAACCCAGGCAAATGGCCACAATAATTGGTGACAAAGTTCCATGGTTTAATTATCTTTACACAGGTTTTGAATTTGCTACCTGTCTAGTTACCTTTGTCAGTCCCTAGTTTGAGGCTGGAAGGAGCCAGCTATTGTTGCTTACTTATTTCCTTTTATCCCTGATGATTTCAAACACCTATATTCCAGTAATTTTTATCCCATTATATTCCTATCCAGCTTTAAGAGCATGAAAAGTACTACTCCACTCTTCTGGTCTTCATACAGCTGTTCCATGCTTTTGATCATCCCTGTCACCTCTTCTCAACTTCTATGCCAGTCTTCTACACCCTTCAAAATGTAGGAGGACCACAACTACAAATAGGACTCTGTGATGCATTCACATCTTGAATACAACATTTTTAATTTAATTGTTTGCTCTTTCCTTAATTATCTGCAACAATCCATTTCCTATTTACTGCCATTCAGCAAGAGGACAGTATTTTCCTTATCTACCTAACTATAGCCCCAGGTCTATTATTGAGTGGTAGCATTCATAACCAAGGCCATCATTTTATATTTAGTTACATTTTTCCCTCAATCACACCAGTTTACATCATATCACCTGCTAGATTACTGCCTAGAGTCCCAGTCTTGTAAGATCCTTCTGCAATCCATCACAATTGGCCTTTGTTTTTAAGAATCCAAATAATTTGGTATCATCAGCAAACTTTGACAGACTGTTACTTGTTTTCAGAGCAAGTAAGTGAATGTGTTAAGAAATATGACTCCTAGCACATATTCTTGTGAGACTCCATCAGTGATCTCTCACTGTGAAAATCAACTGTTCACCCTTACTGTTTCTTGCCTGCTAACCATTTTCTTATCTGAGACGAGGATTTTCACTTTTACCTCATTGTCACTTAGTTTCTTTGAGAGATTCTGATGGACTTAATTGAAAACCCAAGATCTTACCTACTGTATCTTCCTCCAAAAAAACTTGAATATATTCATGAGACATGACTGCCCTTCATAGGAGCAGAACTTAATTCTTTTCCAGTATGTCTCCAATAATTTTACTGTAACTTACTATTTTATCTAGAACAGATATCATTATTCTATAATATTCTAGAGAGGTATAAAAACATAACAAGGATTGATTTATATGGAAATTTAAAACCATGGGTGGGAGACACTCAGAAGTCTAGTCCTGTATATCACAGTCATTAACCTTGCAGTAGGTGTTCCAAGTTTATCCTATCAAATCAGTTTCAAATCAGGCTCACTGAACTTCTAATTGCATTCTTTGACTTGCCATGGGATATGGTAAGTGAAACTAGGGTTTCCTCTGAGATATCACCATCAAAACCAATGGTGGAACCCAAGTTCTAACCTCACTTATTCTGGCCAGCTCAGTGCTAAGCCAGTGGGAATCATTCTGTATATAGGGGATCTATAATAAGCCTCTGAATCAATTATTCTCTGATCTACCAGATAGCCAAGTAAAGTTTTCCATGTCAACCTCTGAAACAGATTTAATTCACAGCTAAGGCTCTATTTCAAAAGGCATAAGAAAGAAGAAAACTTAGCTTCTGCTTGTCCTTATACACTGGCAGTGTGAAGACATTTAGTGAACATCTATTCCAATAAAATATACAAGACCAGGTGATAGTCCTCTGCTCACTCCTACTGCTGGATCTAATTTCAAGGCTGGTCCTGCATTAAGTAGGAAGTTGAGCTAAGAGTTCCAAGAGTATATTCCCACCCTAAACCTTTCTGTGATTCCATTCAGCTGTGATAATTTCTCTTTCTCAGCATGAAACTGGGCTCCACTATAGTTTTGGCCTGTTGTGTTCCAGACAACACCTGGATGCAGTTTGTGGGACTGCATGGGCCATGAACTGGACATAACAGGCAGTAGGATTTGCAACATACTGTTTTGGAGGGCAAGAGGGTTTAGCCATATGGATGTGTTCTGGGCAACTTGATGAGCCACAGACTCTGTAGCTGTGACAGATTTTATTTATGAATATATATGTTGCTTTAGTGACTCCTTTGAAGCCATAGTATAAACCTGAAAAAACCCACACCTATGATCTGAAGTTTGTGTCTGAAAAGAATGTTACAGGGATATTTTAATCCATTTCTTGTCTTAACTCGTACTTTACATTTTAAAACATTAACTAAAACACTGTCTAATTAGTCCCATGAACTGGACATAACAGGCAGTAGGATTTGCAACATACTGTTTTGGAGGGCAAGAGGGTTTAGCCATATGGATGTGTTCTGGGCAACTTGATGAGCCACAGACTCTGTAGCTGTGACAGATTTTATTTATGAATATATATGTTGCTTTAGTGACTCCTTTGAAGCCATAGTATAAACCTGAAAAAACCCACACCTATGATCTGAAGTTTGTGTCTGAAAAGAATGTTACAGGGATATTTTAATCCATTTCTTGTCTTAACTCGTACTTTACATTTTAAAACATTAACTAAAACAAAAAAAAAAAAATAAGTGGAGGGCACCTGAACAGCAAGCATCAAACTGACATAGCATGTCTAGTACAATAATGGAAACATCTCCAGTAAGGTGTCAGGTGTCACCTGGTGACAGACCAGCAATTGAGACCCCAGAGTTCTTGGCTCCCAATTCCATTCAAACTTCTTTCCCTGTCAGAGATTTGTAATTCCCTTACAAAACTGACACCAGTTCTGCAAATCACTCATAAGTCAAACGTGACCAAAAAGGTAAATTGTTAAACTTTTACGGTAACTTTTAACTCTAAATATACTTTTGGTTTTTTATTTAAATACATACAGAAATTTCATAAACAGAAAATGAAGAAGGGTTCTCTGATCCAAATCAGCCTACAATATGACACAACCAATTAGCTAAAAAATTAAGTTGAACAACTATTTCTGAGCACCTATTTACTGCTTAAGTATTGGAAATGGTTTAACGTATTGTATGATGATGTATTTTTCCTTACCCCATTTTCGTTTTGTGAAGTAGGCATCAGCACTAGGGTCATTGAAGTGTCTGCTCATCATGGTCTCTCCTCCAGCGTGAAAATCATATGCAAACACAAGAGCTTGAAAATAGAAACATATGACAATTACCAGCTCAAGCATATTTATAATAAAGGCTCAACACATCAGTTGGGAAAAAAAAGACCCAAAACACTTACAATGTTCTCCAAATGCTTTAGTGGTAAACACTTCACGCAAGGTGACTATATTTGAGTGCTGAATTTTTTTCCACATGTCAACCAATACCATGCACTTTGTGTTAACAAGACGAAAACCTAGAAAAGAATAAAATCCTTGTTTAAAATGTAGAGATTTGGAGGAGAAATTTTTAATTTAACATTTTTTCTTACACAACTCACATCAACTAGACTTGAAAAATACGACTAGCATGCTTAGAAATGCTAGTCCTATTGAGACAACTCCATTTTTCTCACCATGTATCCTCCGAAGGCAATATGGCAGGTCATCTTTGCTATTTACAGCTTTATAGCATGATGTAATGTACCCAAAGTTGCTTGTTTTCTGTATCCGATTGGGAGGTGGCAGTGGTTCCAAGGGAAAGAGGCTGTGGTAGCTGTCCACTTCCGCAGGAACTGCTAAAATCAGTTCATACACAGAAATGTATTAGGGGTCAGTTGACTTTGAGAAAGTTATTACAGCAGCAGAGAGGATTAAAATGACTGCCATTAATATGCAAATTCTTGCGCCACCTTCTAGGTGCATGGAAGGTTAAAAATCTCTGTTTTCGTTTGAATCAAAGTATCTAGGTTCCTTGAAGAAATTTCACAGAGGTAAAATAATTAACTATCTTCAGCAAAACAGTTACACCAAGTAAAAATCAACAGAAGAGATGCAAAGTTCCATCTTCTCATTTGCCTTAACAATTCACCTTTCTAAATGACCTTTCTATGTTGGTTTTTTCCTGCACAGATTCCTAAGTACTAATTTCCATTCAGACTGAGAACCCTGTTTTCATAACAAAAAAAGCAAATCTGAACCTTCTGTGTTGTAAAATACTGGTTTAGAAAACAGAGAGAGGGAGTTGCCAGAGGTTTACAAATCAGATTAAGAGATTACCCTTGCAAGAAGAGATATATTTGTACTTCATCTGGATTAGTAAACTAAACTGCATTTTCTACTGTATCATGATCATATTAAACACACATTTAAGAAGAAAAGACACTACAACCAAAAAAGCAACCTGTTTCAATCAAGTTGAACACGATCAACTGTAAATTCTCCAAAAGCCAAATTACAATTAATATGTACAAAGTAATCCAATACTGTTTATCATAAGGCATTAATGATTTTTCTTAATGCCTTAATGATTTTTCTTTTCTCAGCAATTTTAAGCACTCCCAAACATTAAGGGGTTTCAAAACAGAAGAAAATTACAGAAAACAGAAGAAACACATCTCTCGTTTCTGAAATACTTTGTATGGTTATTCACAGCCCAAAGTGATGACTAAGGCTTCATGAAAAATTAAAAGCAGGTGGCATTTTTTTTTACAAAATATTATTAATATTGGTGAATACACATTGTTTCAGAACAATACAATCACAGTTTCATTTATAAGAAACACTTACCAGGAATATCGGCCTGATCAATCTGGGCCATAGTTATTAAGTGTCTGTTAATCAGTTCCTGAAGAACAAATTAAGTCAAGTGTTGAACATAATAATTCAGTTCATTTTTTAGAAATTCACAGCACACTGTATTTGAAGTACCAGCTACTTGTACAGAAGTGTCTGGGGTGGAGGGATGAAAGGTAGAAGATCACTAACTTGAAAACGTTAATGGTAAAATATATAAATTTTTTAAGAAAGGAGCTGCAGAAGGTACACATTAGCTAGAGCCAGCACTGACAGAGACACCTACTACAGTGAAGCTGAAATAAGAGTCACAGCCACCTCTTTGAGAAGGGCTCATCAACTAACCATCTGCATATACTTTCGTTCCACTGAAAGAATTTAAAACTGGATAGGATTACAGCTTAAAGGAATGCAATACAAATGAACACCAAATGCACACCAAAGCAGTACTTGAGAAGTAAGAATACTTAGCTGCATGGTAAATTCAGATGCAAATTAGATTGCAGTCAGAGATGCTGTAAGTGGCCCCCACCTCCTGTTGTTCTCCATCCATAGCCAGACTTGATTTTTTAACATTTTAAAATTTTTAAAATTTTAAAGTTCTCCACAGGGAAAATTGACTGCACAGATTTTGAGTGGCTATTTCTCTTCTACTATTAGCAGTTTTCTTGGGTTTTTCTGCTAGGATACACTTTTCCTCTAAATTCTCTATCAGCTTACCTGTCTGAGCTCATCTGCCATGAAGAAGGAAGGTGCATTTGCCTTTGGCTGCATGTAAGCAACATGAGGTGCAGCTGGATGGTAAATGTGGTAGTTTGGAAACACCTGAAAGCAAAACATTTTAAGAAGCAGTTGAAAAGCCTTAAGGGTAGGAAAAATTAAAGAGTTTTGTCACCCTTTCAGTTAGAACTACTGAATGACATATCTATATGCACAGACTGTGTTATAAATATCCTGTCAGATACATTACAGTTTCTGTATGTGATATTCATGATTAATGATTTTAAGTGTGTAAGTATGTACGTGGTTATTTTAACGTATTGAAATGCCTTTCCCCTCCATGATAAATATAAGTTATTTAATCTATCAGAAAAAAATCTGATTTTTTAATGTTTTCTCATTATGTACGCATCCACTGAGATACACAAAATGCTTTCTTTCTATTGCTGTATGAAAAAAACCAAAATCCTACACAGAGCTAAATGAAAAATACAATTTTAAGGACTAGAGTTTTTTAAATAAGTGATATTGGAGAACAGCTGCAACAATTAAAAGGCAAAATCTTTATATAAAAGTTTCAACGTATTACAAATAATCTGTGTTATTAACCAATTCAGCATCTGGAAATGCCACACTCTTCTGTATCAAAAGCAAACCTACCATTCCTGTGAGAGGTGCTGGAGTTGTATCAGTGTAGAAGTATGTTGTTCCACCCACTGTTTCCTTCTGAATCACCTGGCCAGTAGATGGAGGCTGAGAGACAGCATTAGCAACAGAAGCAGAGGCACTAGTAGGCACCATATAGTTTGCTGGGTTAGGAGTATGACTTCTTCTTCGAGGAGCAGGAGATGTATGTGGAGTTATTTTGGGGGAATGAAGAGGAGAAGATCCTGCAGATAGTGACATACCTTAAAGAAAAACAAGAAGACATTCTTGATCAAATCTATCATCAAAAAATTAGCAATTTGAAAATAAAACAAAAAACCCCAAAAACCAGTGGCCTTTACTACCAATAATATTTTGAGAAGGTGACACATTTAAGGATTGCTACACCGATATAAAGAGTTAAAGGTAAAACATTAAGAGGAAGACTGAACAGATACTTCCCCAAAATTTTCTGCTAAATTCAGAGAAAAAAGCTTGGGAACTTCATGATCTATACATGAGGAACTGGAATGAAAGATGCAGAAGTAGCAGAAAAGGGGAGATTAATCAAATTAATGCTGTGTCTAGAAATGAGTTGATTCAACTGCAAAAAAAATAAATTATTAATGACTATAAGTGAATGTTTACATAAGTTACATTAGTAGTCAATGGCATTTGCCAAGCTGTAACTCACTTCCCCTGACCACATGTGTACCTTTTTCTAGAACCATCTCCACAGCTATCAATATTAAAGTTAGATCTGCAGTTACTACAGCACACAAGCAATACACAAGATGCTACTTCTAATAACTCCAGGGAAATTGTTTTTTCCCATAATTCCTATACTAAACAAAATGTCCTCCAATAGATCTATTTGATATGCAAAAATAGATAACTTCTCAGAATATTAAGTCTGTCAGGGATCTATGCTGAGATGTTGAAATTTATTTAAAATTATTTTATTGACTGGTGTTCAACATTAGACAGGAAACTCAACTGAAATATGAGATGCTCAGCTTCTAAATAAAGTGCACCAGTGGGGAAAAACTAGGGCAACATATTTTTCCACACATGCTTTTTAGTTACTAGAAACTAGTTGAGTTACTTCAACAGTCATTGTAGGCAGAATTCTGATAAAATTAGTTATAAAAATTTAGATATCAAAGAAACCTTCCAGGGTGAGGAAAAGATTACCCTTCAGAAAAATCCTAGTATTACTATTAGAAGATCCTAGATATCTAGGCATTCAGAGTAATACACAGGATAACTGAAACTGGCTCAGTTCAGATTGGGATATACTTTCTCTTTTTTAACTTAATTCTAGTCTGACTTAATTCTAGTTAGAATTGTATTAGTCATGCTAATTTATTTATTTTTTTAAGGTATGTAAGATACTCAACTGTTATATTTAATGCTCTATGGATAGCTGAGAATTCCTCTCTAATTAAGAATTCAGTTAGCTTATAAATGCTCATTACCAGACCATTTTTAAGTGGAAACAATTTAAGCAAATATCTGAGTAATAAAAAGAGCAATTATTCTTTTTTTTTTGCATACACAGTTACCAAAAGCTAGTTCAGTTACTTCAAAGAAGAGGTATTGCATGCAGAGTTCTCAATAAGCATCAGTTGTAACATGTAGGAGTACTTTTACACTTCTGTCTTGTCACTACAGTAGTTTCATGCCTCCTACATTTACTTTTTTCTTTTTTTAAAACAAACTACAAAAGCAAATAAACAATATTAGTATTACTAGTTTAATCAGCAGTTGGGGAAAAACTACTTTTAAGCTCTGTTATACTAATTATATTAACATAGTATTTTTAATCTGTCATTTAGATCCAATTATGTACTTTTTTGACATCTCAAAAAACAGGCATATTAATTCAGCTCAATTTTATCTTTTGTTCTTGAAAATTTAATAATTCCAACAAAATTAACAAGATTTTTTTAATGTAAACCATAATATAATCTTACACCTTCCTCTTTAGTTGGGCCATGCATTAATTTTGTAAAATATTAAAATGTAAGAATATGATAAATAGACAAATATTAAGTCTACAGTTCTCTGGGCCAGACCTTTTCTTTATATTCATACGTGTGTGTACACAGGCTTTATAGATAACCAATATTGTGGAAAAACTGCTTGTTTATTATTAGCTTAATAAAATGTGAATGTTTAATTTTTAAAGTACTTCTTATTGGTAACATAATTAATCTCCTAAAAATGCATTTACAAATCAACTGTATAAAATTTTACTCATTGTGACAGCACTGGTTTATGCTGCAAAAGAAAAGAAGTTTCCATTAAGTCAAAAGTTGATTTGAGTGATCAAGTAACACTTAAACATTTTTATAGTTTCTGTATAGTTTTTAACAAAAGACTAAAACATGAATGCATTCTTGATCCACTGTGGGAAAGAACAATTTCAAAAGAAACAATATATTGCTATGGAAATTTGAAGGATGACTAATGAAAATGGCCATAAAACTGAATCAGCTCTAGAAGTGTTTATGATGTTCAAGGGATTCTCTTAATCTAGAGAAAGTTGCTGACATGGCTTTTTCTTTTTATTCCAATAAAACATAGTATTAACTGAAATCTTTGCAAACATGTAAACTCTATCAGATTTTTTAAAAGTAGTTCATTGAAGCAAGTTATTTCTCAAAAAAATGTCGAACTATAGAAACCAGAAAACAAACAAAAACAATTTTTCACTGGTATTTGAAAGATAACTGAAGACTTCTCTACGCTAAAAAGAAACTGTGCATACAAGACACAGGATACTGTAAATCTTATCTTAAAAATGAAAGCAAGGACTTGCAACCTTGCTAAAATTACATTGCGACCTTCTACTGAAAACTTCTCAGAAAATAAAATAATCCATGACTAGTTGTTCTTACAGATATAATTTCAAAAGTTTCCACTGTAAGATTTACTTTAAAAATATATATATATATTCCTGCCAAAGAATAGTTATATTTATAAATCCATAATGTCTTTGTTTGGGTATTAATGCAAGATTGAAAGAGAACAAAGACACACACAAATCCTTTTAAATACCCTTCCAGCCTTAGTTAGGTCTGATTTTAGAGGGACACTGAAAGTTCAATGAAAATCATCTGGAGGGCAGAACACACAGGCTTCTCATCTGCCAGTACACATAGTATGTTCAAAATAGAGAGAAGCTTGAGTACCACGTTTTATGCTACTAGAACAACATATTACAAGTTATGAGAAACTTGCTGCAGGGGGTACCTGCAGCAGGGCTTGAGGCAGCAAACATTCAGGTGATAGATTTTTCTGAGATCTGCACTAATTCTGCAAAGTCTAAATAAATATTAGCTATTAAAAGTCCATTATCACATAAGAAAAAAAAACAACAAACACTTAATGCAGTAAAATTCATGCATAGCTAAGTGCTTACAGAAGCAAGTCACCGAGTGTACAAACTCAGCAGATCTCAATGTCATTAGTATTTCAATCAGTTAAAACCTTACTAATATTAATATTTAACCACAACAAAAGAGAGGAAAGTAGAAAATGGCTGTATAGAAAGGTGAACATATATTCCTACTGACTCAAACTGAAGGAAAAAGTCTGTAGTGAACACATGATGGTAACAATGTGGTGAATATGGAACAATTAGACAAACTGTTTTCAATAGCACAATTGACATAAACACTTGCTCACTTAAGGACTTAATCAAAATATGGTTTGAATAATTAATTAAAATTTCTTTATATATATGTATAAAAATCATACCAGTGTCCCTCACAAAAAAAAAATAATGACATTTTTAACCTTTCCCTATAGACAGTCTAGCATTCCCCTATATTAAAATTTAAATGCCAAAAGTACTAAGACAAACACCAAAAAGCAGTTTCGAATTGTCCTTTTTGCTGATAAAGGTAGCTCTCAATTCCTTGTCTCTGTGAATCTTTATACCCTCAATGAAGATAAATGCTATCTTGCAAGGCAAACTGTAAGGAGAATGGGCTTCTTTCACTTCACAAATATTTACATCTAAAAAAAGGCGTCATGGTATCATACCAACATAGAAAGGGTTGCAGGATTCAGAGGTCTTTTCTCAAAATTCAGTGACTGTACAGGCCATACCACTTTCATTTTAGGTAGAGAAAAAGGTCATACCTACATATCCCTTTTTATTGTTATATTTTAACTTCTTGCTTTTTTTTTTTTTAATTTTTGAAGTTTCATTGTGACTGAGGAAAGGGAAGTGGTAGATTTTCAAACAGTCCTCAAAGATATTTTATGAGATTAACACTTCCTAAAAGCTTTGTAGCATGCAACATATTTGAATTAAAAAGACAGATTGCATTTTGAATCCAAGAATTTATACAGACAAACAAGATCAGAGAGAGGGCTTCAAGCATGAGCTTCAATTAAGATTCAGGGTCTACAGCTTTTTTGATTCAATGGAAGTTTACAACCTAAACAAGCATGATTTCAGTAAGCTCATGTGACTCATTCAGCTGGCCTACAACCTTAACACTTTCGGAAAAAGAGAAGAATCCAATAAATGTTCTATACATACTTTCTTACCTTTACCTGCAAATTGATTCATCTACAACCGTTTATCTGTGCATCTGAGGTTTGTAATACATTCAAAGATCAAAAGTGAAGCATTTACCATTTTATCACGTTTTTGCACTTTACAGACATTTTAGACTACTACGTACACATTTTAAGGAATGACTAAAAGTAAACAATAAAACCAGACAATTTCAGTCATGTCTTTCAAGTAGTATCCTTAAATTCACTTTTTTTTAATTTATTATAAGCTCTCCATAAAGTCTTTGGCATTATTGCTGCCTATTTCCAGCTAAATCTGCTTAATTCCCTAAACACCTTCAGAGTCATACATTCTTTCTCCTCAATTTTATTTGGGATAAAACTGATTTTACAGAGGTTTTTTGCCTTCTTCCTCATTTGTATCATTCTGGCATGACTGTGGAACTTCCTCTGCAGAACAGCTGCACCATACCTGCTAAGAGAGGTCAGAGGAAGCTCTTGGTGCCTTAGGTGCCACAAACCACCTGGGCTGAAGATGCTCCATTTCCAACTGGGGTGACAGGCTGAGATCTACCATCTCATAGCGCATCATGAATGGAGATGTGTCGACTGGACACAAACCCATCACCTGACTTCTAAGCCTGCAGGTTCACACTGGCAACAGAAATGGGATCTCTTACATTCTGCACCAGTTCAGAGCCTACCTTGGGCTAAAAATAGAAGTAACAGCAATTTTCTGTCATTTCCACTGATGACAAAGACATGACTCTCTAACTATAACTTAGCCTAAGCAAACCCAAGCCAAAGATTCTCTCTGCTGGGGGTATACATCTGCTCTCTTCTCTCAAGTGTAATACAGTAATGAGGTCTTATCACTTTGATGACATTCATTCATTTCTTTCATATGCTTTTTGGCATATTTTAATGACTCTATTACTCCGAAACTGCTACACAGATAAGACTGTTAGCAAAAGTACAATTTGAAGACTGTCAGCAGATCGCTACATTTCCCATGTGGATAATAAACAGGATGTGTTTGCTAGCAAGGGAACTGAAGGAACAAAAATAGCATATTACCTAAAGGAGCTTAAGGAAAGGTTTGGAAAAGCTGAACGAGATCTGTTCAAAGCTCTTCAGTAGGACCATTTTCTTCAGCTGTGTAAGTTGCATTTTATGCACTATGTCTATTCAATGCTACTGAGACGAAGACTGACTCAGTGTTGAGATTATGCTAGAAAGCACTTATCTAAGTAAATACACATAAAAGTAGGAGTAACCTTTATTCCATGCTACACCCTAATGGATATGTCAAGTGGATACAGTAAGTTATCTACTAGAACTATAGGTTTCAGTTACTTTTTCCAGCAGTTCTGCAGGACTGCTGATAAGACAGGTGGAACAAATATTCTCCAGGGAGAATCAATTTTGTGAACAGTTAACTAAGAAATACTAGATGTCAAAAGTTGTTTTGGTTTACATCTACCTTTGGGAAAATCTCAGAAATTGGAGATGAGAAAGAATTTGTTCCATTCTTATGATGGAAATAAAAGGATTGTTACCATTTACCTACTTGGTTATTATTAACTTACACTTAAGAACTTTTAACAAATCATTCCTATAATGTTTCCTTATTTGATTTTTTTTCTAGTTTGCTGTAGGCTACTATGAGCAATCTTAATCTCCTGCAAACGATTAAATCTTAAACCTTTACTGAAAGTTATTCTACTGGAGAATATACACCACTTAACAGGAAGGAGACTTATCTTTATGTAAAGGAAACTTCTTATAAACTCTTTATATGGGTTTAATTTGAACTTGTTTTCACTTATTGAAAGCTGACAGATCCCAACAATATTTTTAATGACAATTTTGTAACATATTTAAATCTTTTTTTATTCTGTTATCCAGTATAACCTAAATGGTGAGGTTTTCCCCACATAAATACTGCTTTCTTATTTAAGAACCTTTTAGAAAGAGCACCTCCTAACTCACCTTCAGGAAACAGAATACAACCATAACAAATTCTGTTGACAGCTAAACCATTTACATAAAAATAAATGTATATTAGTATTATTTACACAGGACATTTAAGTTCAAAAAATTCTGCATTCAGTGTAGAAAAAGAAGCTTCTAGAGAAATTAAAAGCACCCAACCCAGATGCATACTCTGAACTATACCCTTTTTTTTTGCCTGAAGTTAGCTCCTGTGAATACTTTCCCATCCCTCTCAGCCATAAACAACAGTATTTGAACGTAGACAGTTTTCAGCATTGGTATCTATACTTCTAGGAGCTCAAATTGATGTACGAACTTCTTTCATCAACAGTGTTACTTATCCTTTCAAGTATTACTTACAGATAGTAAAGAAATTGGACTGTGAAGGATCCCTCTGAGATCCCACTGGACACTTTCCAAAAGCAGATCATTTTACTGTATTCTATTTAATCCTTTATACACTTTTCAATCCAGGTGACAACGCTGAGAGGCATATAAACACAACAGTTTTCCAATAAGACTGTACAGCACAATACAGTATGAATCAGACAGTACTGCAACATGTTCATTTGGTCAGCAGAAGCATCACTTTCCCAGCCTGTTCCAATAGTTGTAATATGTGACCCAAGTGCTGGCTTCTTTCACATTGAACCTGAGATTTATCCCCTGGCATCAGGAAAGACTTCAGTTTAACATATGGTAATTGCCAGTACCATTCGAAAAAATCCAAACATGTAGAATATTTGCCCCTCTGCCTTTTGGCAGCTACCTAATGCTTCTTGTCTGTTGGAAGAGATTGCCAAAGGTTTAAGTACCTACAGAAACCTGCTAAAGAATCTGATGTGTAATATTCAGATCTACTGATGGTTTTACATTAAAGCTACTTAATTTAAAAAAATATTCAAATAAAGCTAACTTTTAAAAATCAGAACTCCAAAAGATATATGAAAAGCTTGAATTTCTTAAGTGTAAAAAAAAATCTTGTCACTCAGAATTGTATGACTGCAAGAAACACACTTTGTTAAGTTTTAAACTTGGAAAATAGTAATAAATTAGTCTCAAAAGGGAGATTACAGATGACATGTACAACAACAAGACTACTTTGCAAATCAAATAAATTTAGAATAACCTTATCTTCTACTTTTAGTTTTATATAAACATTTTTAAGTCCTCATATATACTCGTTAATGTTGACAATAATTAATTCTAGATTACATACTTCAGAAACAAATCAAAAGAGCAGATCCATGTCTCATAATCAGAGCACACATTCCTTGTGCACTGCAATGCCCTTCCAGACTAGGGGTAGCTTCAATCACCTTCAGATACTGCTCTGGCAAGAACCATAGAGTACTGTAACTGCTAATTCAGCACCCCTTTTGCTCAAAAAGAGCAAGGAAGTTAGCCTGAGTCAATTTCATCACTGCTGTGGTTAAAGAATTTTCACAGCCTGCAGTGTGACTTCCATTCATACTATTGGAAGATTAATCCCAAGTTCCTGGACTTTTATATGCCTGAACACTGTCTTAAAATTAAGAGCTAAAGTATAAATCTGATCACTTCCTATACAGAGTTATGTTTGAGATAATTGTAAGCTAAAAGAAGCAACTGTATTGAAAATCATTACTCCCAACTTACCTGGTGCTAGCCCAGCAGTAGCAGGACCTCCCATAGAGGGGTGAGAGAACAAGGCTTGAGAGAAGGCAGACATACTTGACTGGGATACATTACTCAGCCTGGAGGTTGATCCTCCTTTAGGAATAAACTCACTTGCAGAAGGATTTGGTGTCTGTTTAAAAAAAAACGTAAATTAAATTTTTATTTTAAATGTGAAGAGATGGACAGTGCCTATTTGGCAGAAAATACTTTATACACAAGCCTACCAAGTGCAAGGGGTATTTTTAAGTTACAGCTTGCTGACAAGAACAGTAGACACTGGAAGCTGGACTACATGAACACATTTGAATGTTTTTCTAGCTTACACCTGAAGTTGCATGAGCAAGTCTTCCATATGAACAGCTGATGTATGAGTTCATACAAACACTTTGCCAAAGGCTTTCCATAAACATTATATTATATAGATGGAGAACAGACTTGCCACTGAGAAAGGCTTGCCACTGAACAGACTGTTCCTACAGACTTAACAGATTTCATCTCAAGCTAAGTAGCAGTACAAATTAATGCAGTAAAAATTATTCCTACCCAGTAAGTCCTTGTCTGTATTTCAAATACTCTAATATGTTCCTTTTTTTGTGAAATTAACTTGTTTTTATTATCTATTCCATTTACATAGCACCTTTAATAATAAGGTTTAATTTAATAACACGGAAACAAATGGCAGAGTGAGCACTAATTTAGACAGTGAAGAAAAGTATTAATTTTTTTGTTAATTTGTTTTTACTACTTTTATTTGAATACTTCAGCCAAGTATCACAGTATTAATGTATTTCAAAATGCTGGAAAAGAAAGAGGATTCTAATAGCTGTAAAATTAAAAAGGATGCTGAGGTTTAAAATCAAATAATAAGAATATTCCACCTTTCATCACACATTAAATTTGAATGGCTAAACACCTGATGATGTTACACTTTCTATATGTTTATGTGCCTGGATATTCACAGAACAGCTATCATCAGATGCATAGATTGGTGAACTAAAACACATTTACATGGCTAAAAAAATCTTAAAACTCTACAATCAGATTTAGTTAAGGAAATTTATTAAGTTATACACTAATGCAACCAAAAAAAAAAGGTAAGTCATATTATACAGACTGCAAACAAGTAACTGATACATTTAAACTCAAAAGGTAATATTCCAGACTTATCAAAATGTTAGGTACAGGAATATCTTAGACAATGGTGCTCCTCCAGATAAAATCTGGCATGCAACAATTCAGTCAAGTCTGCACTGAAACTGGAGAAAATTACAGAGGTGGTAAAAAGTTGAGCAGAATTTGTACAAACAGTAACACACCTAAGAAGTCATCATCAAAAAAAGTAACTGGGAGAACAAAGGATGGAATTTGTAGCACCTTGCTTGAAGTACATAATTTCAACTTTTTTCCACTGCTAAAGCTACCCATTGCACACTGACAGATCTACCACAACTATATACTCTGTCAACTAGGTGACAAGGGCAAGATAGGACAAAAAAACCTGAAGCAGGCAAGTGGAGAGAAAGACACCTTCTGGAACTCCAGCCTTTCTTACAGCAAGTGACAGATTTCCCAAAATTCCATCAATTTCATTCCATCTAAACTCTTTACAACTTTCACCAACTTATTCAATTGATGCCTAAAGAACAGGTCTGCTTTTTATTTCCAAATGCACTGTGCAAGGGTTCATAGACCAGTTCTGGTCTCTAGAAGTTATTTATATATCGATTATGATTTTAAAATGAAGCTGCTTCACAGTTCCACTTAAAATGGTAGGTGTTTTAGTTTATTCAAGCGAAAGACAAACGCAATAATCTGCAGTTTGGGTTTATGCTGTAGAATTATGAACAGCAGTGGGGGTCAAATCCTGACGGAAAGTCAGTTTTCCATAAATGAGGATCAGAATCAAAGCCTGATAAGGTCAAATTGTTTCTATATAACTTTGATGAAAGCCTTTGTGCTTTGATTTGCACAGCTAGACCCTTTCCTATAAAGCCTATTTTACTTTTCTGTGATGTTACAAACACGAAGCTGAAACCCAAGACTTTCCCCACTGGTAAAAAGGTGATGTAAATTTTGTTTCCAATTTTAAAAGACACTTCCACATTCAAGCTGTTTTCTAAATACAGAAAAATACCTGAGCTCCACATCCACCAGCCTGAATAAACTAATTAAACTAGACTAGACTAAGTGAGAGAATGGAATATCACTATTAGTTCTTTAATATTTAACCTTCTCATTATTTTTCAATATTTGTAGATAACCTATTCAGCACCAGTGAGTGCATGCAAATACACCAAAATGCTGAAGCCATATTCTTAATGGCCAATGATTCAGAAAACATGTTCTTGGTCTGGAAAAATATCCTGTTTTCACTGGCAACTCATAATACAAAGTGTTAGTTTTACATCTGAATCAACAGTAAGCTTGAAAACCTGTTTAAGAGGAGACTATGCTCTAAAATCCTACAGGCCATTTTTACAGTTTTTGTTAGAATTTTGTCAAAAATTGCAAAATGAGATTGAGTAAAATAAATTTAAATTTGCATATGAGTGAAAATATTGTATAGTTAATTAGCAAAAAAAACATTTTCTTCATTCTTTATTGTGTTTAAATTTCCCACTAGCACAGCTAGAAAACAAATTTCACTTAGTCATTAATTACTCAGAGTAAAATAGCTTATTCATGCTAGACCAGGCTTCTAATTTTAAGTCTGAGTAAATCAGAATTAGTAAAAATTAGAAAGAAAACAAGTATTGAAAACTTTTAATAAGCTGTGGGAAAAATTAAAATAAAGGAGATGCAAGAAATACTTAAGAGGACATGTAATGAATTATGCAATACTGTGATATTAAAAACAAAAGTAGCAAATGCACTTGTTAAAACTCAAGAAACACAAAGCCCACTAGTGCTGTCCACACTAGGCAACAAACTAAAGACTGTTTTTTAGTTTCAAATGCAGCTGTCCTATATAAAGACCAAGATTATTTCAAAACATTAATGTTTTCAACAAACAGCATTAAACAAATATAGCTATGTAACATGTCAAATGTTTCTACAACCCACCTAAAGTAACATCCACCTCACACATTTACTAAAATTACCACAATTCCTTTTTCATCTCAACGTGGCCAGTTTAAATCACACCCTCCTTCTTCCACTATATTAATAACATTGTCAAACTAAAGCTGGGAAGCAACTTTCCCAGGAATTTTCTGTATTAATACCTGTGTCATGCAACCTCACCAGAATGATTCCATGAAGAAATTTCAACAATACCCTATTTTCAGATTCTTTATGCCTGTGCTCTCTTGAAGAGAGCAGCCTTTCAAGTCAGCTCTGCAAAGAAACTTCCAAAGACAGGCCACAAAACCGTCAATCCAGCTCCACATACGCAATGTCAATACTTCTATACATTAGACAATGCACAACTAAATAAAGCACATATAGTCCAAATTAAGGCTGAATTTAGTCATGATGCAATTAGTAAGGGTGGAACAACAAGGCCTATATGAAGGACTATAAAATAACTAATTTTGTGTCACCATTCCCCACAGAAATTGTCTGTTTGGTGGCTTTTATGCTTTTAAAGATATAAGAGGGAACACCATTAAAACAGTGTGGAGAGGAAGAAACAAGTATTTTTTTTTGAACCACCAAAAAACAATTCAAGGCTCCTTAAAGAAAGGTGCAGACAAAAGTAAAGAGCAAGCCAAGGATGTCAGCTGAAGACCATTGCTGGGAAGACCACACAGAGGCATGCAGCAGTTCTGCACATTGAGGAGATGCACGTATCAACAGATTTCCTTAGAGCAGAAGAAAGGTGAAAATTCCTGTTTCATCAACTAACAATTTCAGTACTATGCTTTTTTCTCTACGCTTTAGTGACCAACTCCCAGTGCTGCAGTCATTCATAAACAAATCCTTAAAGCAACATAGAGTACAGAAGTATTCTGTAACACAGAGATACACAAGTTAGGGAGCCTTTGGAAGGTCATGCAGGGATCCCACAGGACCACTGGAAACCACCCTTCTTTCTCATTTCCAGTGCAGCACCTCACAACACAACACAGCTGTACAGCAGCAGCAGCACTGTCACCTCTGTTTCACTGGCTGCAATGCTACTTTGTTAGATTGGTTCTGGTCCTACATTCTACCTAAAGCAAGAAATAGACCAATTTCAGTTTTTCAAGAATGTGCTAATGTACTTACCACTCTAAAAGTTGGATACAAGACTTTTTGTTCTCTTTTTGTGATCTCTTTCACCTCCAAATTCATGCTGATCTGTTCTGACATCCCCAAATTGCATAATCCTGTAATGGTTACAGAAAACCACTGCTAAACTATACCCATGCTACAAGCAGGGCAGTCCTTTACCAGTGTATTCTTGGCATAGTTTCCATCATCTCTTAAGAGTCTATAAACATAAAAAAATGTTGCTTATGTGTGCTCATTTTTGTTGCTGTTTGTTGCGGTTTGTTTGTTGCTGTTTTTAAATGGACAGATGAGATAGAAAAGGAGGCTCGCTTTAGAGAGCTGCAGCCCCTCTGCTTCTAGAAGGACTTGTTAGCTACAGCATGAGGGAAGAACACATTCTGGAAAATCAGAGCAGCCCAAGAGCCCTTGGAAGTCACCAAGGTCTTCAAAGCAAGTCTCTTCCCCTCCCACCATTGAATTTGTGCAACATGCTTCCTTACCACAATTACTGTGACAAGTCATCACATCACCTATACAATAAGCTCTAATAAATTTAATTTCATCAAAATTAGTAGCCCTAATTCTCTACTGCTCTTTCAGAAGCATTAGAGACAATTTCAGTAAAACTGGGTAAAATTTGCTGGCTAAAGACTTTTTTAAAACAGAACACAGGCTCAGACAAACATCTTAGCAAACAGATCTCACTAGAACGTAAACTTTAAAAGACTCAGAATATTTTCACATTTCTTGAACAAATTACTTCAAAGTACTATAAAAACTAAAGTGTTAGAAGTTCATGTTCTTGTCAGAAAGTATTTGAAAAATACATTTATCTGTATTTTTTTTGTTCAAGAAGCAACCAAAAAGATCAGCTATTCCTGGTACTTCAAAACTGATCTGTGTAAGATAAAAAAATACATATTCCTACTATTTTAAGCAAAATTGCCATTTGCTATTATAATATGTATCATGCAGTGGTGCATTGGCTCATGGTATTTATTAATTTAGGGTGGGACAATGAAGAACAAACTTTCATTTGGTATTTTTTGCTTTTTCAATGCACAACCCAGAATACAATTCACCCTATGGCCTCCGCTCAATCATTTAAGTGTAACAGTGCCCGAAGTAAATAGATCTGAATTATAAATACACAGCCATGGCTGAGAAACAAAAACAACACTTTGCAATGCATGTTGCAAACTACCCTGCTTTTCAAAACAGCTACTTTTTGACAAAAATGTTTAAATATTGCATGATGAAATAACAGTGTTCCCATATCTTAAACCATACCTTGGGAACCAGAAGAGGTTAGGGGTCATCCTGCTGCAAAGCAGCTCCAAGGAGTAAGACCTTGGAGTCTCAGTAAACAGTTAAGTTATTCATGGGACAGCAATGTGCCCTTGTGGCCAAGAGGGTCAATGGTATCCTTGGGTACATTAAGAAAGTATGTCCAGCAAGTCTAGCTCCCCTCCCACTCTATCCTGGTGAGACCACACCTGGAATCCTGTATCTAGTTTTGGGCTCCCCAACTCAAGAGAAACAGGGATCTACTGGAGAGAGTCCAATGCAGAGCTAGAAGGATGATTAAGGGCCTTGAACATCTCTCATATGAAGAAAGGCTGAGAGACCTGGGGCTGTTTAGTCTTGAGAAGAGAAGACTGAGAGGAGATCTTATTAATGTCTATAAATGTCTGAAGGTCTGGGTATAAAGAGGAAGGTGCCAGTTTCTTTTCTGTGGTGCCCAGTAACAGAACAAGGAACAATGGCCATAAGCTAGAACATAGGAAGTTCCATCTCCACGAGGAGAAACTTCTTCACTGTGAGACTGACAGAAGACTGGAACAGTCTCTGGAGATGCATTCCAGTGTGGCCTGCCTTAGGCAATCCTGCTTTGGCAGGGGGGTTGGACTCAATCACTAGAGGTCCCTTCCAACCCCTAACATTCTATGATACCCTCCTATGTCCTCTGCAACCTATTTTTACGCTTTTTCCCATTCACTCCTGTGAGACTCCACCATTCTCTGCAATCTTCCTCCTCCTACTTCCCATGCCTGGAACATCTTTTTATTCTTAATACCACCAGATATGTATATACATGCTTTTCTGAAGTCTCACATCTCCATGGAAAGCTATCTAATTGCATCATATAGTAAAATCTTGTGCTGTACAGAGTTTAAGTCAATTACGTAGCTGGGATTCTGGCACAAAAGAGCTTGGATTTACACCCTCCAAAAGCCAAGTGCTCTGCAGCCAATTCCAAGCTATTGCTGCTCGCCTTGAGCTTCCCATCACCACACCTTCAACAAAACTTTGCAGGGCATCAGTACTGAAAAGACAATTGCTCCTGGTCTAAAGCTCTGAGTCTTAAACTACTGGCTCTCCAGCTTCCAGAAGCACTAAGTCTTTCTGCTCTACTATACATGGAGTAGATCAATGACAAGCCTCGCTGTGACACTGAACAGCAAAGAAAACAATGGAAGACAAATACAAAGAAGGCTTTTCCTGCCCTTGAATATCACCCTGAAATTCAAAGACCAAATTTTCTCTCTTCTCAGAGCAACTGTCTAGTAATTAGATTACACTGTAATTAGATCCACATGATAAAAATCAATCTGTTGATCTTCTCTCCCTTGAGAAAAGTAGTGCTTCACAGGCTCCAGCCATGCCTCTGAAACCTTTCCTGGTTCTTCTACCAGTAATTCCTTTAGGTTTCATCTTTACTGCCCCAGTGGCTTTGCTGCTTCCCCTGCAGCAAAAGGGCCAAGACAGACTTAAGGCCAAATGCCCCTACACAAAACAGCATCAGCTTGCCCGCACCACGCTGCCCAGGACTCCCAGTTTCAGTAGTGCAGAGATGTCCAAACATCAGGTAATGCAACACCAGTACTGGTATGAAAAGGCTCTGGTATGAGCTTCATGTTGGTCCTTACATGGCAGAACTGAAGAGAACTGAAAGAAACTCTGAAGGTGCCACAAATTCTAGTTACAAGTCTATTGTAAATTTAGCCATTTTCCTCATCCAGAAGACATCAAAAAGAACATAACCCAACAGAAAGACTAAAGTAAGTAATGATCACTGAGAAATCAAAAGTGACACACAAGAGCAAAACAATAATAGAAGCAGTGTTGTAGCTAGAACCAGTACAACAATTTCCACCTAAGCTCCATCTTAAGGGTCATGAAGTAGATCTCTGCCAGATTGTAATTATCATGCCAAGGTTAATCTGCTACTTTCATACGGTGATGCTCAAATCCAGCTGTACCTCTCCCCAGTTACAGAGTTGAAAAAAACTCAAGAATAAAGAAACAAAGTTTAACAAACAAGTTGAGAAATATAAACTACCCCAACTTAAAAATTAACAAGTTTACACTTCCTGATCATGGTGGTTACAACTTCAAATTCTGTACTAAGGGAATTTATTTGCATTAAGTGTCAATAATTTTAACAAAGATCACTAATTTTACCAGCAGAGACCTTGCTCACATGAAAATTAAAACAAAAGGTTGTGTTTGTTTGCTTTTAGGATGCAATTAATGATTACTTTTGCTCCTCTGCAGATTATAACATAATCAAGCAATGCACATAGCACAGCAGTGGGTAAACAGAATAAAACATGTGAGCCACCCCCCTGGAGGGCCCACTATGCCCACTTTGTGAAATGAATATTTGAGCAGATCTCAACCCACGTTTGGAGTTACTACTTCTAACATTTTCCAAAATTTAAAATAAAGCATCCAAATACTGAAAAAGTTACTAGGAAAAAATAATTTTACCTGTAAATTGTTTTCTGTGACTCTGTTCCACCAAACCATATTGATGGGTACTCCTGTTTTACACCTGTCAGCCAGACAGCCAATAGGGTTCTTTGATTTTCTTGCTTTTGATCCCACCGGAACTATCCTCTCATCCAGCATTCCCAGTCGGTACTTCCTGGGCTATGAAAAAAAAGGAGAGAAACCAGGCCACTCCTAACAACCCTCATCTAAAGCTACACTACAATAGGTATTACACTGTGATATGATTTCTGGATTGGTGGAATAGGAAACAATTTGCAAGTAAAATTTATCTGAGACTGTTTCCTTTCAATCCTGACTACTTGGTTAAAATAAATAGTACTTAAAAAAACTTCAGAGACTAGTAAATATTTGTAAGCAAAACCATCCATCACAAGTCAGCCACTGAAACATGAGAATAAACTAGGGAATTCTGTAAAAATGAAGAATTGTTAAAAAAAAATCCGTATTTCTGAAATAGATACCTTCAATCACCTCATAATAATGAACACTTCCCTTGGGGTTTCTATCAAACAAAAAAATGTAGTATTTACTCTTGTATACTGCTTCTTAAATTCAAATTTGCCAACATGCACCTCATGAAGACCTGCTTTTGAAAATCAGGTAGAACTGAGTAGCGAAGCTGCAGTAGAACCCAATGAGAAAAACATTCCT